ATTTCTATCAACAATTGATCTAAACGATAAATGAACAAGCAGAACAGAAAGAGACTCATAGATACAGAGACCATTTTGATGGTTGCCAGATGGGAGGGGAGTTAGGGGGATGGGTGAAAAAGGTGAAGGGAATAAGAAGTACAAATTGGTAGTTACAAAATAGTCACAGGGATGTAAATAGCATAGGGAATATTGCCAGTAATTTTGTAATAACTACGTATGGTGTCAGATGGGTACTGGATTTATTGAGATGATCACTTAGTTATATACTGTCTAACCACTGGGTTACATACCTGAAACTAATATAATATTGTATGTCAGTTGTAATTGAAAAGGAATTTTTTTTTTTTTTTTTAAAAGGGCTAGCCCTAGCTGGTTTGGCTCAGTGGATTGAGTGTCGGCCTGCGGACTAAAGGCTCCCAGGTTTGATTCCAGTCAAGGGCACATGCCTGGGTTGTGGGGTCGATCCCCAGTAGGGGGCATGCAGGAGGCAGCCGATCAATGATTTTCATCATTGATGTTACTATCTCTCTCTCCCTCTCCATTCCTCTCTGAAATCGGTAAAAATATATTTAAAAATAATAAAGGCTACAATATAATCCAGTATATATAGTTATCTTTAGATTTTTAAAGGTAATGGGAAAAGATACATTAATACCTACCAGTAAATGTTGTCCTCAGAGAACCCCAAACCTTTATTTTAGTCAACAGCCTAGAAAAGTATGAAGTTTGACCACACTGATAAGACTGGTCTTAATAAACAAAGAGTGCTTCAGAATAGGCAGTGAGAATTGGCAACTTTGAACTATTCACCTAACCCTATATAATAAAACCCTAATATGCAAATCGACAGAATGGCGGAATGACCACTCGCTATGACGCGCACTGGCCACCAGGGGCAGACACTCAATGCAGGAGCTGTCCCCTGGTGGTCAGTGTGCTCCCACAGGGGGAGCACCGCTCAGCCAGAAGCCGGGCTCACAACTGGTGAGTGTAGCAGCGGTGGCAGGAGCCTCTCCTGCCTCCGCGGCAGTGCTAAGGAACCCTTGGGGGATGTCCAACTGCTGGTTTAGGCAGTTGGACATCCCCTGAGGGGTCCCGGACTGTGAGAGGGCACAGGCCAGGCTGAGGGAACCCTCCAGTGCACAGATGTTGTGCACTGGGCCTCTAGTGATTAATAGTTGAATATTGAAGTAGGGAGGCCAACATTATAATGGAGGCCATTTGGTTTAATATACATAGCCTTGGCGAGACCTTGATGTATCTTGACACTAAAAGATCTTGAGACCTATCTTATTCTTGAAGCATTTATCTCAAGAGTCCAAAGGGAAGTGTCATTCAAAGAGGGAAACAATTCTCTGTAAGGCAAAACAAGGCAAATAGCTGAAATTTGAGGAGAGGGAAAGCACAGTACCTTTCATTCAAGTGATATGAATCAATTTTCTGTTCAGGCTACTCAATTCCTCTTCTTCCACCATATGTTCTATGGTTTCTCAGAGATTTGGAAATTTTTGATATTATATTTAAGTCTTGGAGAAGTGGTTTTCAATCCTGCTTGTGTATGAGAAACACTGAATAGTTTTAAAATGACAGATCCTTTGGCCCCACTCCAGAATGATTGGGTTAGATCCTTCACAAATGGGGTCTGGCTAACTATGGCTTTAAAAGAGTTCTACAGGGGATTCTGATTTGTATCTAGGGTTACGAGGCCCTGCTCTGGTGTAATTAAACTACCTTTGGATGGGCTCCTTTAGTTTCTAGGAGGAACTGCCACATGATCTCGCCAATGAAGTTTCTCTAAAGACTACTAATTGGCATGATTAATCCCATTTTAAAACCTGGACCTTTTCTTTATGGGGTGCCAAATAGAATTCCACAGAAAGTGATAAGCTCATGCATACTCATGCATACTCAGAAATCAAAATTTTACTTTTTTGTTGGCATTCCTAATTTAATGTACAGGTCTTGAGCCAAATGTTTATATGTACCATATTATTTAATCACTTCCACAGTTATGTGAGGGATGACTACCATTTTATAGGTTAGGAAATTGGCTCAGTGGTGATAGATAGCCTAAAGTTACAGAGCTAGTACATGTTTGAATACCATTATTGTTATTTGAGGTAATACATGTAAAGTACTTAAAGTATCTGGTTCACAGTAAATAGCTAGGTCATCACTTTATGTGTAGTAACTTATTTAATATTTCCCCCGAGTTAGGAAATATTAGCAATATCATTCCCATTTTATAGGGAGGGAAACTGGTTTATAAAACTGAGCTGGTGAGATTTGGGATGTGAATTCAAGCTCTCTGGATCCAGAACCTAAATCATAAGGCTTAGCTCACTGTATTCAACTACATTTGAACTCAAAATTCTGTCTGATGATGAAATATAGGCTTTTCTTATATACCAAGTACAGGCAAATAAGTGTTTCCAGGCCCATCAATCTTACAGTTCAGCTGGGGTGGCAGTATAATATGAAATGGACAATTAAAGGTGGACCTGAATTTAAATGTAAAGTATGTACTATAGACCAAGTGTGCAGGAGTTCAATAAAGGCTGGACTTGGGTCTATTTGTGCTAGATCCAGGAGATTGACTAGGATTTGGGTCAGCAAGAGGGAAAAGCATACATAAGGGAGAAAAGTAGAATGAACATAGCATATTCACAGTATACTGAGAACATGGTTCCCATAAGGCTGGGAAGTTCATATTAGGATACAGCAGAAAATAAGATTAGCTTGATGTGGAAAGTCTTCAACACAGTTTCCAGGATGAGGATAAGAAATGCAAGTGAGAAAGACCCAAAAGAACTATACTAACTTGTAAGAAGGCTACTGCTACACTGCTGCTCAGCTTCCTAGATGTTGGTATCTTACTGCCTTCTCTTTATTCTTCCCCATCAAGGTGAAAGACCAGTAGAAATCCTACAGATCTACCTGGGTTTCTTTGATAACAGCAGGTGATTCAAATATTCAGGGCTAATATTCCTAATGCCATGCCCATAGCTTGCCAGGGACACACCAGTAAATAAACTGGAAGGCAGATTCTGTTTTCCAAAACTGCATTTTCCCTTGGAGATGTTTGAAATTTCATGTGTTAAGCATTGCCATCTTCATGTTTCTTTGAAAAAAAAATACATTCTCTTGAAGCAAACATACTATGCATTCCTTAAATAATAATGTTAATCAGCTTCCCTCTCCCTTGGTCCCAGGATACATTGGGACAATGTGAGAGTCCTGGATATGGAAAGTGGCAATGGCTGAAAAGTGTGGAAAAGGTATTAGAAAGGAGGTATTAGAAAGGAAGATAACTCTTATTTGATTTAGAATTTTTCTGAGGATCTTCTGCCTTGAAAGATGCTTGAAAGTGAGTTGGTTTTCTTGAATTAGGGTGTTATAGCCTGGTTTGAATGGCAAGAATGTTTTAGTACTAAAATTCACTCAGTTTTCTAAGATTTAAAGTTTATTATTAATATCCGTTAATTTATTTCTTCTTTGTGGGCCTATTTCCCAATTTAATCTTAATAATTCAACAAATGAATCAGCATATTTATTGAGTGGCTATTGTGTCCAGGAGGTGGTATCAGTGTTTCTCAACATGTGTCTGATGGAACATTTGCATCCAAACCTCCTAGTATTCTTATAAATGCAGGATTCTAGGCCCCACTGCATATCTATGAATCCTGAATCTCCAGAGACCGGGATTGATCTCTTTCATAACTACCTTTATTTTTTTATTTTTATTTAAAAAAATATATTTTATTGATTTCAGAGAGGAAAGGAGAGGGAGAGAGATATAGAAACATCAATGGCTAGAGAGAATCATGAATTGGCTGCCTCCTGCATGCCTCCTACTGGGGATCGAGCTACAACCCGGGCATGTGCCTGTGACCTGAATTGAACCTGAAACCCTTCATTCCGCAGGCTGATACTCTATCCAATGAGCCAAACCAGCTAGGGCCATAACTACCTTTAAAAACCATTGTAGCCCTAGTTGGTTTGGCTTAGTGGATAGAGCATTGGCTTGCAGACTGAAGGTCCTGGGTTCGATTCCGGTCAAGGGCATGTACCTAGGTTGCAGGCTCGATCCCTGGCCCTGGTCGGGGCATGTGCGGGAGGTAACCAATGGATGTGTCTCTCTCACATCAATGTTTCTCTCTCTTTGTCTTTCACCCTCCCTTCCACTCTCTAAAAATCAAGTGAGAATTAACAAAAAAAACCCCACCAAAAATACCACCATTGTATTAGAGCAGTGTTCTCAAACTTGAGAGTGCATTGGGATCACCTGGAGGACTTGTTACACCAGAGTACTGGACCTACCCCAGAGTTTTGGATTTAGTAGATCTGGGGTGGGGCCTCAGAATTTGTACATCTAATAGGTTTCCAGGTGATGCTTATGTGATCACATTTTGAGAATCACTGTACTACAGCATTTCAAGGAGTATAAAGAAGTATAAAATACAATACTGATCATTAAGGAGCTTATGATGTAATTGAGGGAGATAATACATACACTTAAAAATATAACAAGAAATTCAATTTTATATATATATATATATTTGACATTGGATGGGATAATTAAGAGGAGCTGGGACTTAATCTGGGCCCTAAAGGATGGATGGGCCTAGGGTTCAGAAGAGAATCACATAGGCATTCTTGATGGGGATATAAAAAAAAGGAAATATAAAGGTATATGGGAGTGGAGTGGTCAATATTTGTTTGTCTGATATAGAGCTTTATAGTGGAGGAGTAAGGCCGAAAAGGTTGATGCCAGACTTTGAAGAGCCTTGAAAGCCTGTCTCTTTCCCCTGCCTCCACCCATTTCACAGCCTTAGCTGCACAGCTTGAAAGAGGAAGTCTCCCCTGCTGAATGTGCAAGAGGAAGCACAAGAGGGTTCTGTGGGCCTGTGAGCCGCACTGACTGCTTTTACCCATGAGCCAATCATAGAGGCAACAGGAAGACCAGCACACCAAAAGGGCTGGGTGCTTCCGCCCAGAGGGTGTCACCACCCAAGCTGAAAGGTCTGGGGAGATCAGGCATTGCTGTCCCATGTTCCGCTCTCTTGGTGGCCATCATGTCTTTGACCTCTGCCTACCAGCATAAATTAGCAGAAAAGCTCACTATCCTGAATGATCGTGGTCAGGGGGTTCTCATTCGTATGTATAACATCAAGAAGGTAAGCATGAGCAACTGGACTAGCACTAATTATTCTAGCAGTAGTAGGGCTGGGAACTCTGAGGCCAGCAGGTCCAGTGGTTAGACTTTCTCCTCTTTCCCGCTGGCTTAACTGGCCTTCAGTCACTTGGATTATATAGACGAAGCGGACAGGAAAGCTTTTTTCAGAGCTTCCCTTTTCTAGGTTTGATTCTCATCCCAATGAGAGTGTTTGTTTTCTGCTGGGTATGGGGTAGGGGTGGTGTGGTAAATAATTGTGTTATAAGTCACTTGGGTAACAGTCTGGGGTCTAAAATTCTGGGTTGTATTGCTTATTGCTGACCCCTCACCCTCTGAAGATATCCAAAGTTGGGTCTCGGCAAAAACATCTGAAGAAGTACTTCCCAAAAAAGGGGAAAAAATTGTGATATTTACATTAGAACAGAAAGAGTAGTTGTTTTCTGAGGTACTCAGGGTCTGAGACAGCTCATGCTGTGGTTGCATATTTGTGTGTTTAGGATAGGAACTGTGGCATCAAGAGAAGCTGGCGGCAAGGGAAGTAAATAGATAGACAGGGGTGGGAGTGGGGAGTTTCTCGAAGAGAGAATAGTGGACCTGGGGAGGGAACTTATGTGCACTTTTAAAATAAAGCAAATCACCAGGAACATGGTTTCTCTGTCCCCACGTCTTCTTTAATAGCCCTTTGGGATGATTTACTTATATAGTGGACATAATTGTGACACTGAGTCTCCTGCAAAGTCTAGCTCCTGAGCAGCTGCTTTTCTGACTCCTTCCGGCTTCAGCTGAAGGGTGGAGAGCGCTTCCTCTTTGTGCTGGGGCCAAGCAGACATTAAACTTTACACAGCAAGACAAGATGCCAGGTTATTTAGCTCTTCTGATAGTTGGCTTAATGTCCTTTAACTTGTTCCTGACCTACTCTTAAGCTTTCATAATGAATCCCCAGATTTCCTTTCCCTAAGAGAGATTTTTGTGAGAATGAATGATGAAGGAAGAGATATGTTTATGGGGGGCAGTGGAAAGGGTTGAAATATAGTGTGGTTTTTCTGTGCAGACTTGTTCAGACCCCAAATCCAAGCCACCTTTCTTACTGGAAAAGTCCATGGAATCATCTCTCAAGTACATCAACAAGAAATTTCCCAACATAGATGTACGAAACAGCACGGTAAGAATGCGATTCCTCTTCTCTCCTTTCTCTGAAATAACTCTATGCTTGGATGGCAGGAGATAGCATAGTCTTCTTTTAGTTTTCCTAGGCTCAATCACAGGGCTTCAGGTTATTGTAGTCTTGAGAATTCTGAGAAAGATAGAATTTTCCCAGGGTAAGTTGGAGCAAAGCATTGCCTCTTTCTCCATCGCAAAATTCATGAGAACACCATTTTTGTAGAGGAAGACAGCTCCACCAACTCAGCAGGGTGCATAAATCTTATTGTTGTTCCTGTTTCCCACTCAGTGTTTCCTTGTAAATTATCTTAGAACTAGAGGCCCGGTGCATGAAATTTGTGCAGCAGGGGTGTGGCCCTCAGCCAAGCCTGCACCCTCTCTAATCGGGACCCCTCGGGGGATGTCCGACTGCCGGGGATCGGGTCTAAACAGGCAGTCGGACATCCCTCTCATAATCTGGGACCGCTGGCTCCTAACTTCTCACCTGGCTGCTTGCCTGATCGCACCTAACTGCCCCCCCCCCCCCCCCCCGCTGGCCTGGTCACTCCCAACGCCCCCCCCCCCCCACTGGCTTGGTTGCCCCCAACTTCCTCCCTCCCCCGCTGGCCTGGTTGCCCCTAACCACCCTCCCCCCCGCCGGCCTGGTTGCCCCTTACTGCCCCCCCTGCCAGCCTGGTTGCCCCCAACTGCCTTCTGCTGGTCTGGTTGCCCAGAACTGCTCCCCTCCTCTGCTGGCCTGGTCGCCCCGAACTGCCCCCCTGCCTGCCTGGTTGCCCCCAACTGCCCCCCTGCTGGCCTGGTTGCCCCACACAGCCTGCTTTCCAGTCATTTGGTCATTCCTCACTAACCCTCCTGCCAACCTGGTTGCCCCACACAGCCTGCTGTTCAGCCGTTTGGCCATTCCTCACTAACCCCCTTGCTGGCCTTGTCACCCCATGCAGCCTGCTGTTTGGTTGTTTACTGCTACTGTGATGGTGTCCTGGACAATTTGCATATTCCTCTATTATTAGTATAGATTATGCATCTGGTGGGATATCCCTTATGAATGTTAGCACTAGATTTCTTATCATCTCACTTGTAGCATCTTCTCATTCTGCTTCTTTTGACTTTGATAAATCTCTAGGGACCTTGAATTTTCCTCTCACTTAGCACTCTGTATTTAGTCAGAATCACATGCAACTATCCTACCTCCTAGGTAAAAAATCTCCTCTGTTTAAAGGCCCTCAAAGAGTGGGAGATTTCCCAAGTTCCTTTGTCAGTGTATTTCAAGTCTCTTCAAGAATGTTTTAGGTATAACACCTATTCTTCTTGGGTTACTTTGAATACTTGTCTTCTTACTTTAAAAAACAATTTGTTTTGTATTTCTCTCAGCAACATTTAGGACCAGTACATCGGGAAAAAACTGAGATAATTAGATTACTCACCAACTACTACCAGTCATTTGTGGATGTCATGGAATTTCGGGTGAGCTCCCTTTAACTCAGGTCCCAGGGTGGGCATTGTCTTTCTGAGGCTATTCCTTCTTTAATAAATGTTCATTTATGTTGCTTAACATGATTTCTTTAAAAAATAAGATGTACTAATATGGAAGGGTATCTAAGTTATTAAATGAGCGTGAGTTATAGAATAGTGTATGATACAATTATATTTTTATTTTAAAAGATACTAAGCTTATACACTACACATAGTGTTAGTATATACGTAGGAAAGATTTGGAATATTATACATTAAACTAAAAATAACTAATTTATTAAACTTTACATTTTATATCATTTGAGTTAAAAATTTTTAAAGTATTATTCCCCAATATTTTATTACAAATATACTTCTCGAGGATTTCCTAATTGTTAGTATTTTGCAATGTTTGCTTATCTTCATTTTTTTCCTGAACCATTGAATTAATTGCAGACATCATGACATTTCCTTCCTAAATATTTTAGCATACAGCTGGTAAGGATGAGATATTTTCTTACATAACCCAAATGCAATGATCATACTCAGGAAGTGTAAAATTTCTACAATATTATTAGTTAATATATAGCCCATATTCACATTCCTCTAGTTCAGTGGTTCTCAACCTTCTGGGCCTTTAAATACAGTTCCTCATGTTGTGACCCAACCATAAAATTATTTTCGTTGCTACTTCATAACTGTAATGTTGCTACTGTTATGAATTATAATGTAAATATCTGATATGCAGGATGGTCTTAGGCGACCCCATGAAAGGGTCGTTCAACCGCCAAAGGGGTTGCGACCCACAGGTTGAGAACCGCTGCTCTAGTTGTTTAGGGATCATACACTGATTTTAGTTGTCATGTCTCTTTAGTTTGTTTTCTTTTAATCCTCACTGGAAGATGTTTTTCATTGATTCTAGAGAGAGAGAGGAAGGGAAGGGGGGAGAGAGAGTGAGAGATAGTGAGAGAGAGAGACATTGATGTGAGAGAGAAACATATATAGGTTGCCTCTCACATGTGCCCCAACTGGGGATCAAACCTGCAACCTAGGTATGTGCCCTGTGCTGGAATTGAGCCCATGACCCTTCAGTGCATGGGATGGTGCATATGTTGATGCTCTAAAAAACTGAGCCACCCACCAAGGGCATGTCTCTTTAGTTTTTAATCTAGAATAGTTCCTAGACATTTTTTGGGTCTTTCTTAACACTGACCTTTTTGAAGAGTCCAGACTAGTTATTTTTGAGAATACCCCTCAATTTGGATTTGTCTGATTGTTAGCAGTGTTTGGTAGCAATATTACACGAGTGATATTTTATTTGAACTTTAAACCATGAGCATGTATTATTTTTGTCAATGTAAACAAACTAAACATTATTGAGTACAATACTTTTGAAAGGCAAATTGATGTGTTTCAAATACTTAAAAAATATTTTTATTGATTTCAGAGAGAAAGAGAGGGAGAGAGTTAGAAACATCAATGGTGAGAGAAAATCATTGATCATCTGCCTCTTGCATGCTCCACACTGGGGATTGAGCCCGCAACCTGGGATAGTATTATAGTATTTCTTCAGATAGTACCATAGCATGGGACTCTGCCTCATGACCTGTGTCTACCCTATGGAGATAATTCAGGCCATTGATCAGATCACATAATAAAGAGGGAAGTGGGGACATGAAAAACTGTAAGGTCTGAAGGAGGGTCAGGTCAGAGCTTATTAATCTTGGAATTAAGAGTAGTGATTAAGGAGGAGGTAGACATTGGTAGAGGTAGTGGAAAGAGTGCTGGAAGCACTGGGATGATAAGATCAGGAAGAGTATATGTGACTTGTGTCTGTGGAAATATGGCATTTGGCAGGCTAAAGCCCTATAGGGGCCCACTGACAACTTACTGGGGAGGAACTCCCTCTAGTCAGCTATGCCTTTCTTATGTTACTCAGTGGTTTCCTAAGACTTATAAGGGAGAGAACTCTTCCCTTCAAATTCTGGTAGTAGATGTCATACCCTCTTTGTTCTTTACTCATTCTCATCTCCAATTCTACCCTCAGGATCATGTATATGAACTTCTCAACACCATGGATGCCTGCCAGTGCCATTTTGATATTGTAAGATTCTGTGCAATTCTCATTTATCTACAGAAAATGTCTCAGTTGGGACTGTGTGAAGTGGGAGGGAGTAGAGGAGTAGCTATTCCTCCAGAACTATATAATATATAATATATAATGTATAATGTATAATGTATAATGTATAATGTATAATGTATAATATATAATATATAATATATAATATATAATATATAATATCCTATCTAATAAAAGAGAAACATGGTAATTAATGTCACTCCACTACCCTTCCCATTGGCTAATCAGGGCGATATGCAAATTAACTGCCAGCCAAGATGGCAGTTAACCGCCAACAAAGATGGCGGCTAATTTGCATACTGCAGGCAGGATGGGACAGCACCATTCTGCCTGCCCCGCCGCCATCTGGGCCTGCTATCTGTGACCTGGATGGCGGGCGACCCCTGTGCGACTCGACCCAGGGCTGGCGGGCATGACCCTGGCGGTCCGCCAGCTGTCACGCCCTCCCGCTGGGAGATCTGGGGCGACTGCAACTGCCAGCAGTCTCCCCGCCAGCCCGGAACTCCTGCAACAGTCGCCCCTCCAGCCCGGATTAATTAATTAATTAATTAATTCCCTTTCAATGTGCACGAATTTCGTGCACCGGGCCACTAGTATAATATATAATATATAATATATAATATATAATATATAATATATAATATATAATATATAATATATAATATATAATATATAATATATAATATATAATATATAATATATAATATATAATATATAATATATAATATATAATATATAATATAATATACAATATACAATATACAATATATAATATATATAACATAATGTATACACAAAAGTGGGCAAAAATAGGTTTATAGTTGTGAGTATGTGAACACAGTTTATTCTTTTTTTTTTTTTTAAATATATTTTTATTGATTTTTTACAGAGAGGAAGGGAGAGAGATAGAGAGCTAGAAACATCGATGAGAGAGAAACATCGACCAGCTGCCTCCTGCACACCTCCTACTGGGGATGTGCCCACAACCAAGGTACATGCCCTTGACCGGAATCGAACCTGGGACCCTTCAGTCTGCAGGCCGACGCTCTATCCACCGAGCCAAACCGGTTTTGGCTATTCTTTTTTAAATATATATTTTTATTGATTTCAGAGAGGAAGGGAGAGGGAGAGAGAGATAGAAACATCAATGGTGTGAGAGAAACATCGATCGGCTGCCTCCTGCATGCTCCACACTGGGGATGGACCCTGCATGTGCCCCGATCAGGAATTGAACCATGACCTCCTCATTCATAGGTTGACACTTAACCACTGAGCCACACCGCCTGGCCAGAGTTTATTCTTGTATTATTATTTATTAATTCTTGTATTATTTATTTGTATTACAACTATAAACCTACTTTTGTCCACCCCTGTATATAGTATACTATGTAATGAATGAATGAATAGCTCTTCATTCCAGGACTATAGTTCTTTCATAAAAAGTGCTGAAGTTAAAGTGTGTTTACATGTGAAGCAGATTAGCAATGTGATTTATTTAATATAGAAATTACACAGACAGTTTAATTTAGAGGTTGGAGGAAGTCCTTGTTCCATTTCCTCCAACCTCTAAATTTACCTTATTTCCTGGCCTTCTTGTATCCTGATCTCACTTTTGAGATATTCCAATTTTCTCTTGAATTTTTAGTCCTGTGAATTCCTCCTACTGAATAGATCCTTTGAGAGTTTATTTGGCACTGTCTGGAATAGTTGGCCTTTCTCTTCTTGGGTTCCTATGTGTCTTTCTTATAGAGTCTCAACTTTGACTTCACTCGAAGTTATCTGGACTTGATCGTGACTTACACCTCAGTTATTTTGCTTCTGTCACGGATTGAGGATCGACGGTTACTAATTGGTGTGTACAACTGTGCCCATGAGATGCTGCACGGGCATAGGTGAGCTAAGGGGATATAGATGTTGAAGAATGTCATACATGGTGCTATGAGGTTGGGGGTGGACACAAAGGAAATGATGCCATGCTTCCTCATATGAGAACTTGTAATCTATGTGATGACCCAGGTAAAATCAGGCAACTTAGAATACTTATAAGTGCACATACCAACAAGTGCACTTTTACATGTAGTTAACTCTTAAAAATCTGGTAGTGGGTTAACCAGTTTTCATTGTTTCTGATCAGTTAAAAAAATTTTTTAAAAAGAAATTTTTTAAAAAGAAATCAATATTTTTATTGATTTCAGAAAGGAAGAGAGAGGGAGAGAGAGATAGAAACATCAATAATGAGAAAGAATCATTGATCGGCTGCCTCCTGCATGCCCTACACTGGGGATTGAGCCTGCAACCTGGGCATGTGCCCTGACTGGGAATTGACCCATGACCTCCTGTTTCATAGGTCAATTGGTCAACCACTTAGCCACACAGGTCAGGCTCTGATCGATTTTTAATCCTGGTTGGCTTCCCTTCTCTTCAGGCTATTGTAAAAGTCAAAGAAAAATTTTTTTGTAGTATTGATTGGAATAATATTAGCAAGGTAAAGCCATTAGAAGTAAGCACTGCATGATAATACATTTGAAGCAAAGTAGAAATGGATTTTGGAATATCTGCAATTCTGTGCTCCTCTGTTAGTTCAAATAAAAGTATTTAAGGGCTGAAAAATGAAAGCCAGAGGGATCAGAGTAGCCTGTGGCACATTGTTCTATGCATGGTGTGTGTTTCCATGTGTCTACATGAATACCTAGGCATATGCCGAATGTGTCTATATCCTTTTGGGTTATATACAGATTTGGGTCCAGATATGTTACTTGATTTACAACTAATTGACATAAATTTATAGAGTACTTATCATGTCTCCAACCCTATTTTGGGTGCTTAAATGGAAGGCATTTTCATGGATCTGCTCCAAAATATGTAGTTCTACCTAATCATAGCTTAATATAGCTGAGCCTGAAGTGGATTTTTCATATATGTAATTCAAAGTTTTTAGTATGTATTTCTTTGGAGGTGGTGGAGAATGCCAGCCAGCCTATGCACGTGTCTTTATCCTATATCAAACATGAGAGTTTATGTCATGGTTAAGGGAGGCCTGAAACTCCTCTTCCCTCTGTTTTCTTTCAGTGACCCCAGCTTTCCCCGCCTAAGTCAGATGGTCTTGGAGTATGATCACCCTCTGAAGAAGCTGACAGAGGAGTTTGGGCCTCACACAAAGGCAAGTTACTGAGAGAGTAGAGAATTCCTCAGGCAGAAATACATTTTCTCCATTGTTGACATTAAGGATTCATTTGTTTTTCCCCCACAGGCTGTGAGTGGTGCCCTCCTCTCTTTGCACTTCCTCTTTGCTAGAAGGAACCAGGGAGCTGAGCAGTGGCGCAGTGCCCAGCTTCTAAGTCTCATCAGCAGCCCCCCTGCCATGATTAACCCTGCTACTTCGGACACAGTAAGTTCTCCTTTCCTCTTGTCAGTGGAGGCGTTCTCTCTGCCAAGGCCGTCTCTGTAGAGGGTACTTCCTTCAGGAAATATCAGCCCTAAGAGTACTTTAGCCCTCTCCTAGGACATCCTCTAAGTTGATCATCTCCTGTAGCTTAAAAAAAAAAAATCTTCTCAAAAAAATCCTCTAAATTGACCACCTCTTGTAGCTTAAAAAAAATTGTGATTGGGTTGGATCATTTGTTTGGACCAGGATTAGTATGTGTCTGCCCATAGAAGCAATTTAGTAAATATTCACAGAATGAATGAATGAATGGATGGATAGATGGATGAAACTGAGTCATTAGGCACCTATTCAACCCAGTAGGAACTTGAGCATAGGCATAAATTATTTAACAAATGTTTTTATTTGACTACTGTGGGCCCAATGTCCTTGCTTCAAAGAACTTATTGTCTAGTGGGAAAGATATGACAAGTAGTCATAAAAATACAACTTACTGCACAAGATGAATGAGAAGTGCCAAATGAATGATTTATACTTTACATGGTAAAAGAATCCAAAGGAGGAAGAAATCATGAGAAGGTTTTGAGTCTTGCTCTCCTGTTATTAAAAATATTTGAACTGTTAAAGAGAAGTTATGTTAAACCTTTTGTTTGTCCTGACTTCTATCCCAAGCTCCTTTTCTTTTTCTCAACTATATTTTCCCCGCTTACTTCACTTCCATGATTAACCCTGCTAATTCAGACACAGCAAGTTCTTGGCAGGTTTCCTAGCTATTGGCTTCTTAGAGTGCTGTGATCCAGTCTGGTGAAATAAAAGTTGGTTTTGGTACTCACATTTTAGCTTGACGGCCTTAATCCTTATGGGAAGACCAAGTTAAGTAATTGCTTGACTACCTCTGCTTCTCTTCCCGCAGATGGCCTGTGAATACCTGTCTGTGGAAGTGATGGAGCGCTGGATTATCAGTAAATTTTGTGGGATTAGGTGGGAGGAGCCATAGCAGCATGTTACATGGACAGCAAGCTCTGAAATCTTCCTCTGCACTCTTTTACCCACCTGCAGTTGGGTTTCTTCTTTGTCATGGGTGCCTCAACTCTGATAACCAGTGCCAGAAGCTGTGGAAGCTGTGTCTGCAGGGCTCCCTGTACATCACCCTCATCCGGGATGAAGTGCTACAGGTGCACAAGGTCACCGAGGACCTATTTAGCAGTTTTAAAGGGTGAGACCTGACAACCAAACTCATCTTCTTTTGGGACTTTTAGCCCCTTCTCACATGCTTTTCAGTCTCCACAAGTGTTCTGAGTTATGGGTGGTAAGGTTTAAGTCTAATTATTGAAAAAGTACTTATTGAATACCTGCTATTTAATAGTCACTTCACTGAATTTTAGGGATACGTTAATTACTAAGATAGCATAGAGGTTAAGAAGATGGACTCTGGAAATAGGCTACGTGGGTTTGAATTTTATCTCTATGACTTACTTGCTTTGTGATCTTGGGCAAGTTACTTAACTTCTCCTTGCCATACCTCAATGTCCTCATCTATAAAATGGGAATAATAATAGTACTTCCTTGTGACTTACCTCATAGGGTTGTTATAAGGAATGAAATAATTGCTACTTATAAAGCACATAGAAAATTGCCTGGTACATTGTAAGTGCTATATATGTGCTTATTAAATAAAAAAAAGACAGAATCTCTGCTCTTAAGGAGATTATAAATTTATGAAAAATAGACAAATTGTTGTGATGTAGTAAGGCAGTGGTTCTCAGCTTCCTAATGCCGCGACCCTTTAATATAGTTCCTCAAGTTGTGGTGACTGCCAACCATAAAATTATTTTCGTTGCTACTTCATAACTGTAATTTTGCTACTGTTATGAATCGTAATGTAAATATCTGATATGCAGGATGTATTTTCATTGTTATAAATTGAACATAATTAAAGCATAGTGATTAATCACAAAACAATATGTAATTATATATGTGTTTTCCGATGGTCTTAGGTGACCCCTGTGAAAGGGTCGTTCGACCCCCAAAGGGGTCGCGACCCACAGGTTGAGAACCGCTGTAGTAAGGGCTTAGGATGCATGAACACAAAGTACAATAGAAGCATTTAGAAGGACACCTAAATTGGCTTTGGAGGATCCAGAAAAACCTGGAGACAGATAGACCTGAAGAGCTAAACAGGTGAAGTGGTGTGTGTGTGTGTGTGTGTGTGTGTGTGTGTGTGTGTAAAGGCAGGGAGTTGCTCCAGGCAGAGAAAGATATTCTAGGCAGAGAAACTATCAAGATTTTGAGGCAAGAGGGAGCATATCAAGTTCTAAGAAATACATGTAGCTCAGTGCCTGGGCAGCTGGGTTACAAAGGTATGGATGTCAAGAGACTGATTTAGTCCTGGCCGGGTGGCTCAGTTGGTTGGAGCATCATCCCATACACCAAAAGGTTGCAGGTTTGATTCCTGGTCAGGGCACATACCTAGTTTATGGTTTTATCCCCAGTTGGGGTGCCTATGGGGGGGCAACTGATTGATATTTTTCTCTCATATCAATGTTTCTCTCTCCCTTCTGCTCTCTCTCTTACAAAATCAAAGAAAACATATCCTCAGGTGAGGATTGAGAGAGAGAGAGAGAGAGAGAGAGAGAGAGAGAGAGAGAGAGAGAAAGATATGATTTCTGACTTTGTATGTCCTGTCACAGAGTTTGAACCTGTCCTAAAAAGGATAGGGAGTCATTGAATGATTTCAAACAGGGTAGTGACATGACCATATTTGTATTTTAGAAGAAATCACTCTGGCTGCAGGGAAGAAAACTAGAGGGCAAAAGTAGAAGCAGAGATTAATTAAGTAAATTAGTAGGATTTGCGGGTGAAGTCAGATTTCTGGTACAGATACTTGATATTCCTTAAGATAAAGAACATGTGAATAAAAGCAAGTTTGTGGGGGAAAGATTGTGAATTCGTTTTGCGCAGGTTGAATTTGAAGTGTCTATAGATGCATTTTAGACCATTTATGTTGTGGCTCTGGAATTTAGGAGTGAGATCTGGATTCAGATAAAGATTGGTAAAATGGTGGTCAAAGCCATAGGAGTAGGTGAGATTACTCAAGGAGAACATGTAGAGTGAGAAGTGACTTGGACAGATCTCTGGGGATATTGATATGTAAGGGCCAGTGGAGGCAGAGAAATCAGTGTGATGTTGAGAAGAGGGAAAGCAGAAGTCAAGAGAAGACATTATAAGACAGACGGGCTGGTTATCTATTTTAGATGATGTTGAGAAGTCAAATAAAGTGAATACTGAAAAATATTTATTGGATTTGGCTGTATATAAAGATGATCTTAGCGTTCTTCTTATGGACAAATTCAGTTGAGTGGTGAGGTTCAAAACTGGGTTACAGCAGGTATAGGAGCAAATGAGAGATAAGGAATTTAATAAGTAACTTTCAAGAATTTTGATTGTAAAGGGAGAGCTATAATGAGGAGGAGGTGTGGGATTAGGGGAGGGGTAAAATGCCTTCATTATACATTATAGTTGCAAAATGAACATCCAAAAATGTAAAGAATACAAAGTAGAAGTTGGCTACAATCTCATCTCCCGAAATAGTTTGGTGTATTTCCTCCAGATGCTTGTGTTTATATATAAATTGGTGCATGAAATTCATGCATGGGTAGGGTCCTTAGGCCTGGCAGGTGATCAGGGCCGATTTGGGTCTTCTGGCTGCTAGCCAGGGCCTTCCTTCATTTCGCACCACCTCCTGGTGGTCAGCACACATCATAGTGAGCAATCGAACTCCCAGTTTCCCAGTCGAACTTCTGAGGGGACAATTTGCATATTAGGCTTTTATACATATATAGATAAACATGTAAAGGTGTGTATGTACTTTCAACCTTATGTAAGCAATTTTAAAAAAGCAATGGATCCACACTCCACATTATGTTCTACAGTTTGCTTTCCCTCCCACTTAGTGTATTTTGGATATCTTTGCATATCAATCTATAGAGACTTATCTTATTATTTTTAATAGTCAAATAGTATTCTATTATGTTGTTGTAACAATTTATTTACCCAATCCCCTATTAATGGACATTTGAAATGTTTCAACTCTTAAAAAAATTTATAGACAAGGCTGTAATGAATGTTCTAAGATGTATATCTTTGTGAAAATTTCTATAGGGTAAATTCTCAGAAGTGGAATAACTGAGGTAAAGTTATATTTCAAATTTTAATAGCCATATAAATTTCAATATAAACAAATATATTATCTATAATCTATCTGAATACTGATTCTTCCTACTCTCAACAATTGAGTATTATCATAAAAGAAATAATTGCCAGAATTAAGAGAGAGTAAATCTAAGATTAATAATCTGAAGTTATAGGAAGTGATTTGGATCTATATCTGTATATGTATATAGATCTAGCTATATCTGTATACCTAGATAGATCTAAATATATAGAAAACTTTCTAATGATTACCAATCTGAGGATTAGAAGGGATATTTGATGAATGTTCAGTTCCCCATCACTAAGAACAACAACTAACACATAAGGTTTATAGTTTAGGGAGCCTTTGGCATAAATGATATAATTTGATCTTCGTAATACTTATAAGCAGGTATAAGTATTTATATCCTTTAAAATAAATGATAAAATGTAAACAGTCTAAATGTCATTCAGTTAAGATGTGTAATTAGGAAGTAATTCTAGATTTTTCAACTCTTAATCCTGTCTCTACATCATACTGTGTAGTGGGTGAAATAATTATTTGCCAGTGGAGTTGAATCCTGATTTAATTAAGATACTTTCCAGCTTTAAATTTCTTTGATTGTGTGCTAAATTCAATAAGGGTGTGGTTTGGAGAAGGGAAATGAAAGGTTATCAAGTTCGACTAATGTGGTGGCAACAGTGATAGAGGATAAGAGAAGACAGATATGAGGAACATAGAGAGCAAAGAGCCTAATATAATGTAGGGTTTTGGAGCACAGGTCACTCATAGAAAAAAAGAGATATTGTGAGGAAAGTAAAATATTACATACAGACCAAGGACAATGAAAAGACCACTTAATTTGGTGATTCCAGAGTTCACATTGACCTTAGAGAGAGCAATTTGTTTAGTGTCAAAGGTTTGTGGGGTTCAAGGGTGAAAGGTAAAGAAGTAAAAAGAACATAGATGTTCCTTTGGATGAGTTTGGTGGTGTGGAAGAACAGCCAAAGTTTAGTAGATTGTCATGGTCAAGCGAGGGATTTTTTAGAATAAGGGAGGCTTTGAACTTATTTGTTGGGGTAAGAGAATAAGCCAGTGGGGAGGGAGCGATTTAAATGACAAAGGGATGACTGATAAAGTTAAATTCTAAGAGGTGAGGGGTGGGGTAGGAATGGGATCCAAGGTAGAGCTAGAGTAACTGTTTTACTTGAGAACAGGGTCTGTGTCATATTTATGTACTGCTGTTTTTATCTCCATCAAACCTGGAAGAGTACTTTGTCTTGAAAGTGTCAAGGCAGGAGCATAGGACAAGGAGTCTACTACCAGTTTTGCCATTAAAACCCTATTTGATCTTGGGCAAGTAATTTCCCCCTCCTCCCCCCTGCCCCCCAAGGTATTATTTTATTCATCTGCAAAATAATGAAGGGAACTGAATGGTCTCTAAGCCCTATAAGTCTCTTACTAATTAATGGGCCAGGGTTAAAGTAGGGTTTGCAAAGATCCTGACAATGAGGGCTGCCCATGTGCCACAGGCTGTAGTTTGGCATCTCTGAGGACTGGGAAGGTGGGACAAGGGCTCTGACCAGTGGTATGGTCAATCCTGCTGTGCTTGTGTCAATCCTCAGGTATGGCAAGCGAGTGGCAGACATAAAGGAAAGCAAGGAACATGTAATTTCGAACAGGTAAAGGTGGGGGGTGGATTCTCCAAGAGGGGATGGAATGGGAATCTCTTCTAGTCTTTGTTCTTGCCCCCAGTTTCTGAACAGTCTTATTGCCTCAACCCAAGAACTTGCTGCTACTCTCAGATTCTTGTGTTTTCTTACAAAGTCTAACTGTAGCATTGAGTCTTCCTCTGCCTTTGGAGAGTTTTTAAGGGTGGGTGAGGCCATGTTCTCATGTCCACTTTTGTTTCTCAGTGGCCAGTTTCACTGTCAACGACGTCAATTTCTGCGGATGGCAGTGAAGGAGCTAGAGACTGTGTTAACTGATGAACCAGGACTACTGGGTCCCAAAGTAAGAAAAAGAAATGTTGGGAGGGAAATGATGATAAAGACTCTATGTGGGAAGTGACTTGGCATTCATGAATTTTTGCATTTCTGAGTCTTCTGATATCTATTTGTATTTGTATATACTAATCCCATTGAATCTTCTTGGAGTACCCCAGACTTCTTGTATCTCTTTTTTGAGCACTATCATAGTACATCATTTATTTTAGTATTTGTGTACTTATCCTCTATTTGAGTATGAACTAATTGAAGACAGAACTTGCTTTTTAAAAATCACATAATGTCTAATAAATTTTTTTAAAATTTAATTTGATAGGGAGGAAAGAGGATTGACTGTGAGCTAATGTCAATACATCTACACTAGAGGCCCAGTGCACTAAATTCATGCGGGGGGGGGGGTGTTCCTCAGCCTGGCCTGCACCCTCTCTCAATCCGGGACCCCTTGGGGGACGTCCCTCTCACAATCCGGGACCACTGGATCCTAACTGCTTGCCTGCCTGCCTGCCTGCCTCATCACCCCTAACTACTTGCCTGATTACCCCTAACCACTTGCCTGCCTGATCACCCCTAACTGCTCTCCTGCCTGTCTGATTGCCCCTAACTGCTCACCTCTTTGCCTGATCACCCCTAACCACTCTGCCTGCCTGCCTGATTGCCCCTAACCGCCTCTGCCTCGGCCCCTGCTGCAATGGCTTTGTCCAGAACGATGTCTGGAATGATGTCCGGAAGGTCATTCGGCTGTCCGGTCAAATTAGGCTATTACACTTTTATTATATATGTACATGTCTGATTCTGTGCCACATAGTTTTTTGTGGGTCTCTGTGTTTATTGGACACTATTGTTGATGTGGCTACACAATTGTATCCATATACATATTATGATAGTTTTCTCTGTGCTTTGAAATCCATTTTTAAAGTTGGAAATTCTCATAGTCCCTGTCTTCTCCTTAGGCCCTTTATACTTTCATGGCCCTGTCCTTCATTCGTGATGAGGTCACTTGGCTGGTTCGTCACATGGAAAATGTCACCAAGACAAAGACACCTGAGGACTACATTGACTCGTTAGTATTTGACATGGTTAAAAATCTTGACCTTAAATGGACTGGGAAAAGGGACAGGGAGGCATCAAATGACCTTAGGAAACCTCTGTTTCCACCCTGTTACCACTGTCTTTTGTCAGTTCATATTTCTAGTCTCATACATCTCTCCGTTCTTATCATTGACTTTGTAGGAGCATCGCAGAACTGCTTTTCTTGTTGGAGGAGATTAGGGCACTGGTCCGAAGACACATCAAAGTGCTACAGCAATACCACCTTCAGTATCTGGCCAGATTTGATGCTCTTGTGCTCAGTGACATCATTCAAGTATGTTTAATTGCTTATACTTTGGAAATTTCAGGGTGATCCCTAGTCATTTCCCCTGGAGAACACCCTGGCTGAATCTCAAAAAGTGTGATTTCCCCCTCTACATTTGTTAAGAGAAAAAAGAAAGACTGATAATCTCCCCCTACTGCCCCCAAGGTGAAGCTATACAGAAATAGGAGAGAAAAATAAAGAGAAATTAGGTGTTAGCAGGGCAGGGAACCCAGGAAGTTTCCTCCATCTTTTGCTTGGTTCTTTCTGTTTGTGGTACTTAATAATTCTTTCTACCTGCATACGCGGACTGAACCTTGTGGTCCTCATTTCTACCCTCATAAAACATATGCGCATTTGATGGTAACTCCACCTTCTCTCTTAGAACCTGTCAGTGTGTCCTGAGGAGGAATCCATTATCATGTCCTCATTCGTCAGTACTCTCTCTTCTCTGAATCTCAAACAAGGTAACTGGAGGGGAGTGGAGGAGGCAGGGTATATGTGAGGGTGAACATCTTTCTTTTTCCCTCTAGAAATATTGATCTCTTGAGCCAGGGAATGGGACAAGATGACTTCAAAGAGCATCTCCCATTCTACATAGTTGGATATAGAGTGATGCTTTATTATTTCCTTTTAAACTTCTTTTATTTTTCTTGCAGTTGATAATGGAGAAAAATTTGAATTCTCTGGATTGAGACTGGACTGGTTTCGCCTACAGGTAAATCTGTTCCTGTTAATGATTCCCCATTCTCAGGTTCTCCCTCCTCCATAATCCCTTCTCTTTTTATCTCCTAAGATCTGCTATATGGAGTGATTCAACATTGACAACTGTTAATTGGACAGGAAAAACCACAGCCAAACTGTAGCTCCAAGGCTGTTTTTTTCCTTTCATTTATCTTGTTTTTCTCCACCCTTTTCCCCAACTCCAACCATAGGCATACACCAGTGTGGCTAAGGCTCCCCTGCACTTGCATGAGAACCCTGATTTAGCCAAGGTGATGAACCTTATTGTTTTTCACTCCCGAATGCTGGATTCAGTAGAGAAAACGCTGGTGGAAACATCTGATTTGTCTACTTTCTGGTACGTCCTGAGTCAGAGCTCTTTGTCAGTTCACCCGGTCTCTTGCATGGCCGCTGTAATTGCCCTAGAGTGGTTCTCAACCTTCCTAATGCCGCGGCCCTTCAATACAGCTCCTCATGTGGTGGTGACCCCCAGCCATAAAATTATTTTTGTTGCTACTTCATAACTGTAATTTTGCTACTGTTATGAATCATAATGTAAATATCTGATATGCAGGATGTATTTCATTGTTCGCGACCCGCAGGTTGAGAACCGCTAGACAGATGGGAAAGTCTTGTTTTTTTTGAGATTTCCTTAAATGCAGATGCTCAAACTCCTCAGCTTACTCATTCCAGCTTCTACTAAGTAATAGGAATGTGAGGCTAATTCCCTTTTGTTCTGGCTTTCTTTAGGAAAACCATTTGGACTTTACACAGCCTTCCTTTTTCTAGGATAATTCATCAGTCTATCTTTTTTTTTTTTGCACTGTTGTCTTTGGAACCTTCTTTTATTCTTAGGTTTTGTGATTCAGTAGAGACATGCAAAATTTGGGGGTTTAGTGGGGAGAACTGAAAATAATCAAAAGGGCTGGAGAATAAGGCATTTGGAGAATAAAAACTAGTTTGTCTTTCTTAGTATCATTTATTAAGTGACCTTGTACATAATTTTACCCATTGAGCCAATCAAACAAACAACACAGTATGTTGTCTCTTCTCTCTGCATTGAATATAGATGGAGAGATATAACACCCATGTGTGAAAGGGACATCATAATATTTGCAGATGTAAGAAAGTGTAAAAAGAGTGTATGATATTCAGAGAATGTAGGTTGAGGAAAGATCAGTCTCATGGAATTAACCTGAGAAAGTTTTTTAGAGCCTGAGTGTCCAGTTTGGGAGTGATGTGAATCAGTAGTACTGAAAGGCTTCTAAATTAGGGGGAATGGTCCAAATTATGCAGAGATTCTGCAGGAGGAATAGCAAATTTTGTACAAAGAAAGGGAAGGAAATTAGCCCTAAACTGCTCTTGAGTCCAGTATAAGAGTCTGAAAGGGTTGTTTCTTGAGTTCCTGTCTACCTTAAGGGTAGGAAAATTAAAAAGGGAGTGATGAATATCAACAGATATTTGTTGAAAGAATGAATACTGTCTCCACTTCAAAGTGACCTAAACCTTGGTTTAAGTCTCCTTCCCTTTTTTCCTGCAGCTTTCATCTCCGTACCTTTGAGAAGATGTTTGCAATGACCCTGGAGGAACCTACCATGTTGCGTTATGCCATTGCCTTCCCCCTAATTTGTGCTCATTTTGTTCACTGCACTCATGAGATGTGCCCAGAGGAGGTGGGTACCCTGAACTCCAAACCCTGTTATCTCTCCAATCACATCTCATTCGTATTCCCTCAAATCACAATTCCAAGGGTTGATTTTGGTCCCAAGAAGGGCGCAAACATAGGTATGTGATACGAGTCCCCAAGTGTCTCAGCTTTATGTAGACTATGTTCTCTCTTGGGTTTCAGATTCCTTTTCTGTAGAAGGGGTAGATAGCTCAGGCCAGAGGAGCAGAGCAGTATTATGAGGAAGAAGTGACTCTCCTGGTGATGATAATTTTTTCCGGGGGTTCCTCTTTCCCAAAGTACCCCCACCTGAAGAACCATGGCCTTCATCACTGCAACTCCTTCCTGGAAGAGTTGGCCAAGCAGACCAGTAACTGTGTCCTGGAGATCTGTGCTGAGCAGCGAAACTTGAGTGAGCAGGTAGGTTCAGTCCTCTCCCTGTAGAAATTTCCCCTTTGCCATCCCTCTGTGCCTTTGCCTCTAACTACCTTTTTCTTCTCATCAATTGTCAAGTTCTCTAGACCCTTTCCCTCAAGTAGAGCTAGAGCTTCGGTGTACTTGAGTTTATGGTAGGATTCTTTTCTTAGTGTAGTCCCTTAAGTGTTTACTCCCATAGGACTAGATAGAGGTATCTAAAAATACTTATTTGAACAGCTGCACTCCAACAAAATCTATGCTGTCATTTGTAGAGTTCTGAGAGATGAGTTAACATTCTAATTTACTTCCCTTCTCCCTGTCTTGTGTTCATATACTTGGACAGTGGCCCCTAGATCACCAGTCTCGTCTCACCTTCCTGTCTATGTGCAATCTAATCTGTGGCTGTCTGAACATTTTTAGGCACCTCCTCTGTGTTTATCCTCAGGGCTGCTTTCTTGTTTTTGTCTGCTCCTTTTTCTCTCCCCTCCCCTCCCTTCACTGACTCATAGCACCTGGTCATGATTAGCTCAACCTAAATTTCAGAAAACTTGAGAATGAGGAACTTGTTTTACTGTTGCCCTGGAGTCTTTTAGGTTGCCCAGACTACCCACCCTTCCTGGGTTTGAGACAGGCTTTGAAGCAACTTTGGCAGAAGGGGACCCAGGTTGTGTGTGTGTGTATTTGTGTACATATGCACAGTTATATTATTACATAACCTTTATATTTTCTTATTTGTAAAATGGGGATAAAATAGTTTCTTCATAGAGGTATCATAAAGATTAAATGAAATAAAGTATGTTACAAATAAAGTATGTAACTCTCAATAGATGTTAGCTGTTACATTATTTGGTACTTATTGGGTACTTTTTGGGATGGGGTCCTGGAAGGAAGGTATATAGTCCCTGCCCTAGGGGAATTTCCAAGTTTAAGGGAAAAAGAGGAAAAACACATGTCTAAAAGACATTTAAGTAATTAATGCAAGGAAGATGTGCAAGCAAGTACATTTATGGCTATATTCATCACTCAATTTGAATAGTTACTACATGCAAGGGACAAAGTTTTGCTCATTGCTGAATCAGGATGACTAAAACATGTGAGCAGCGGTTTTCACACCTCCCAGAACTTTAGCAAAATGAATATTGGTCCTTCCAAAGTTACAAATTTGAATGAGTAATTAGTGATATTGCCATTACTAACAGAATTACATTTTTTGGCATTAATTTTGGAATGTATCACAGACATTTTCACATGATTTCAAGGTTGACACATCTTTGTCTATCAAGGTGGACTTGATTTTTTTGGAACAGTAAAGTCTATCTTAGATTTTCTATATGGATAACTGGGATATCTATCTGAAGAAAAGAGATCCAGAACTGATGTTTAAACTAGCTAGCAATAAATATGATATCTTATTTTAAAAAAAGAAAGAGCCCTAACCGGTTTGGTTCAGTGGATAGAGCGTCGGCCTGCAGACTGAAAGGTCCCAGGTTCGATTCCGGTCAAGGGCATATACCTTGGTTGCGGGCACATCCCCAGTAGGGGGTGTGCAGGGGGCAGCTAGTTGATGTTTCTCTCTCATCGATATTTCTAACTCTCTATTCCTCTCCCTTCCTCTCTGTAAAAAATTAATAAAATATATATATTTTAAAAAAAATCGAAAGGAAGGAAAGAAGTAGAAAGAGAGAGCTGGCCACATTGTGAGCTCCGAGTTTTCGGTGGGCTGTAGTAGTATGGGTTACTGTCTCAACTGGACAGTATATGAAGGAATGCAGCAGGTGAGATGGTTGTTCCAGCAAAAAACCCCAACTATCTTCTAGGTTGGAAGACCCTAGAAAGTGCAGTTGAGTGGAGCTCTTAGATTGCATTCTTTTTACTTGACTTTTTCCATTAGGAAAGACTCTCTTTCAGATGTGGGTAGGGGATTTGAGCTGAAACATGGGGAGATATTTAATAAAAACGAAAAGAGGTGAGCACTTTGTAAATAGGCCCCCATTAGAGAAAGAAATACTGGGAGGAAAGAGAGAGAAAGGCAGAAAAATAAAAGGACAGACAATCATGGAGGAACCTTTTTATAATTGTTAGATGGGCTACTTGGCAGGTTTAGGAACTAATCTCATTTCTTTATTCACTGGTGTTTTTTTCTAAAGCTTCTGCCTAAGCACTCTGCTACTACCATCAGCAAGGCCAAGAACAAGAAAACCATGAAGCAGAGGCAGACTCCCAAAAAAGGAGAGCCTGAGAGGGAAAAGCCAGGAGCTGAGAGTCACCGGAAGAACCGCAGCATTGTCACCAAGTGAGGATCTGGGCCCTAGAGGACCAAAATGGGCACTGCATCAAAGAAGGGAGAACTGGGAAGAGGGAAGGTGATACAACAAAAGAATTCAGGAGTGGTGGTGAGGAATGACATATGGAACAGCACTGAAATGTGAATTTTCTACTTTGCCTTTGTAGCTGGTATCAATGTGTACTGTCCTAGGCTGAGTGTTCCTAGCAGATGAAAGGGGTCTGAAGGTCATGGCCCGACAAATCCTTCCCAGATAATAGCAGGTAGAGCCAGACCCATAATCAAGACTCATTATACTTTCTCAATTTTATGCAGCATGGACAAGCTACATGTAAACTTGACAGAACTGGCACTGACAATGAATCATGTACACAGCTTCTCTGTATTTGAACACACCATATTCCCTTCTGAGTATCTCAGCAGCCATCTGGAGGCCAGACTCAACAGGTATCACTCTTTCCTTGTCTTCTAAGTTTGTATAGTGTGTTCATTTTCAAAGTTGGGTTCCATTAGATTCATCTTGGTGGTCATGCTACACCTAGAAATTTTGATGCCGTCAATCTGGCATACGTTCCCAAGAATCTCTATTAAAAGGGAATAAACAAAAAAGAACCCCAAACTTCTACAGGTGGGTTTGATGAACAGCCAGAGTTGAGCACCACTGGTTTAGAAGAATGAGCAGAGCCTTTGCAGTCAGCAGAACTGTGTTGAGATCCTAGTTATTAGCTAAGACACTCGAGTAGGTTATTCAACTTGTTTGGGCCTTAGTTTCCTACCCTGTAAAGTAAGGATAATGATATTTATTTTATAGACAGAGAATTGAGAATTACCTGTAATTGAGAATTGGTAGAGATTATAATGAGTGCAAAGTTCCTGACAGACATATGTGTAATAGGCCTCCATAAAATTGATTCTTTCCCTCCACTTTACCCCTCATTTCTTTGCCCCTGGCCCCCAAAGCAGGAGGAACATTCCTTATATTGGAATTGGGCACTATAGTTAGCAATTAGGGGAATGAGGAGAAGAGTTATTGTGAATAATCTCCTAATATTCTATGTTTTCTTTGGGAATATGTAGTATCTTCAGTCATTCATTCAACAAATTTTTATTGAACAAGCAGCGTTCAAGAAGCTGTTAATACAGCAGTATACAGAACATAAAATTCCCTGCTCCCAAAAGCTTGCCTTCTAGTGGGGGAGCTTGCCTGGTATGTTCAGGGGACATGGAGGAGATCAGTGTGGCCAGTTCATGGAATAGAATGAGCTAGGGCAGTGGTCAGCAAACTGCGGCTTGGCAAACCGTGGCTCGGGAGCCACATGCGGCTCTTTGGCCCCTTGAGTGTGGCTCTTCCACAAAATACCGACTTCTGCGCATGGGCCATGAAGTTTCAATCGCACTGTACGTGCGCGCCCACAGGTGGTATTTTGTGGAAGAGCCACACTCAAGGGGCCAAAGAGCCGCATGTGGCTCGCGAGCCGCGGTTTGCCGACCACGGAGCTAGGGGGAGATGGATAGGACGTGAGGTTATAGAGGCTGGGGGAGCGGCATACTGTGCAGATGCTTCTGTGTCAATGTAAGGACTTTGGCTTTTATTCTGAGTGTGATGGGGAGCCATGGCAGGGTTTGAGCAGAGCAGCACAAGATTCCACTCAGTATTTCAATAGGATCACTGTGGCTGCGCTAAGAGAGCAAGGACAGAAGGAGAGCAGATAGTTAGGAGTCTGTGTTTTCATTGTAGGGGATGCAAATTATTTTTCAATTAGATTTTGCTTGTGTGACAGCAAATTTAGTTTTTTTTTTTCATCCTATACACTAGCTATATGGAAAGAAGTATGTCAGGTGCATAAGCAACACCAAGAAGATGACAAGTCACTAATTGTCCATGTATAAACCTGGAAAAGCTGGCAGTGGTTTCCAGGCCTTGGCACGGCGTGGGTGTGATAGTCTAGTTTTCCCTGAATATCTCAAATACTTTCTTTACTGACATCACTGTTCCTACAGCCTCAACACTGGCCTGGAGGTTTGGCATCAATGAAAATTCTAAAATAGATTAGGCTTGCCCCCAGTCTGTCCCTTCTGTATTTTTCCCCCTCAGGTTTCTTTGGGGAGCAGGTCCTCCTGTTCCCTCTTCTTCCCTACCATAAATATTTTTCCAAAAACAAAAACAAAAAGCTCCCCAGATATCTGTGGCTTTAGGAAGAATCTGACTAACTCATTCATGTTGAGGTGCAAATGACTGACAAAGGCTTTGGCAAAGTGCTATGTTTCTATCTTTTAACAAGGAAAAAAGCCTTAGAACTGAATTCTCAGGTTCTTGAGGAAGGTATTTTGGAAGGAAATGTGGTGCAGTGGGAAGGGATGTTCCTATGTGCCCCTAAAATAATACAGCAAGTCCTCATTTAACATAGTTGGTAGGTTCTGTGATTTCAAGTGAAACAACATGTAAGAACCATCTATGTATATAAAAGCTGGTCACTATGATGTGCACAGGGGAGGCCAACTGGCCAGATTAGGGTCCTGATCGCCCCCCCCCCACAACTGCCCATGGACCCTTCCCCCAGCTGGCCTGGCCTCCGGTCAACCCCCCACCTCAATAGGAGATGGGACTGGCTGGCCACCCTCCTACGTGCTCCCCCCCCCCCCCTTGCCGGCCAGCCCGATCGGCCCCCATTGGAGCGGGTTGGCTGGACCCCACCCATGCACGAATTTGTTACTGAGCCTCTAGTTTTACCATATAAACAAGAGTTAATTACCTGTAGCATCTCATCAATTTTTCAATGAAAAGATCAATGCTAAAACAAACATATATTCTTCAAGGACCTGCGGCACAGTGTGAACGGTTATCCCACCTTCTCTAGGGTTGGCTATAGCTGCATGCCAGCCAAGTGTGCTCCTCATCCAGCTCTGGCATCCTATTTGGCCACAAGGAATAGAACTGCACTCCCAAGGATTGCTAGGTGTGGTTTTCCATTTCTGACAGTGATTGGTCCTGCGAATGCGGGTGGTATGAGCCCTCAGGTAGAGTTAGATGATATTTGGGAGCCCAGGTCTTTTACCATCTGACCTAATTTCTCCAGAGAAGGCAGAAGAGCATAGTTAGGAATCAAATGTTATTGGATTCAAGTCCCAGCTCTGCCATTTACCAGCTATGTGGTCTTCACAGATTAGTAAGCGACTTACTATCTCTGTGTCTTAGTTTATTCCTCTGTAAAATGGGGATAATAATTGTATCTACGTTATTGGGTTGTCATGAGGTTTAAATGCAATAATGTATGCAGTGAAATCATAGCACAGCACCTGGACCACAGTGTAAATGTGATAACTGTTACTATGTTTATCATTTTGATTGTAATTATGATTTTTGTCACCTAGAGCCATTGTGTGTTTGGCTGGCTACAATGCCACGACCCAGGAGATTGCAAGGCCTTCTGAGCTATTGGCAGGAGTCAAAGCATACATCAGTTTCATACAGTCACTGGCCCAGATTTTGGGTGCAGATGTTTCCAGAGTCATCCGCAATGCTCTCCTACAGCAGACACAGCCACTGGACTCATGTGGGGAGCAGACTATCACCACTCTCTACACAAACTGGTCAGTGTTGCTCATCCCTCTCTGCCTGACCTCTTTGTGACACTTTTTCCTTCCAGCAGGACTCGGATCCAAGTATTTTAGCTCCTAGGGTCACAAACCCTCAAATGAAACCTTGTTTCTGTTTGACGACTGAGGGTGAGGCAGCCCAGATTCCCTTCTGTCCACCACGAGGTTTCTTTCTAATCTTCCGTGTAACATCCACCGACCTACTCTGTAACAGTTGGGCCTCTTCCTGTTAATTTCCAGTTCCTGACCTTCCTTTTCTGGATTCTGTTTTAATTTCAAATGATCTTTCGTTCTCTTTCTGAAGTTCTCTTGTTCCTCTTTTCACCCAACTTCTTCCTCTGAAAACCATTCTAACATTATCTCTCTGGAACACTAGCTTTTCAATCCCAGACATGACCATTTCCCTAGTAGGTTGCTCTTAACAGGAAGGGGGCCTCCTCCCCAAAACCAGAGGTAGGAGCAAAATGTCCTTTGAGATTTAAGGTTAGAAAGGAGCTGGATTTCTACCTCCCCAAGCCACTGGGTGGCGCTCTTAATCCAGTATCAGCTCAGCAATAAGGCTGGAAAGAGCCCTTTGAGTAGCGGGGAAAGACAGACTAGGTTTGCAAATACAAATGCCAACAAGGACCCAGGAGGGAAGGGACCTGGGTGTTGTGGGTTAGGTGGGAACTTTGGGTAGTTGTGGAAGGCATGCCTTTCTAAAGGGGGCAGCAGCCACTTAGCTCCTCCTGCTCGCTGCCCAACTGCTAGTAAATCCTTATTTTTAATGTGACATCATCAGTTTCAAACTTTTGAGCAACTAGTTTAAATTTTAAAAACAGATCACGTTTAGTGAGTGAGTTTAGTCCATCGTGATTAGCTTGAGACATAAACCCAGAGCTAGTGCCTGGATGAGTGGCGTGGGTTGTCCAGGCCCTCCTCTGCTGACAATGGCTGGAGGCCTTCTCAGCATACTCTGAGGTCAGGAGGGTATATTTGGAGACTGGATTACTCATGTTCCTGGGGCTTCTCTCTGTCCAGGTGCTTTGACTTGAGATCCACTTCCAAGATCCTAGGTTTTCGGTCCAACATTCTCACTGGAGGGATTGAGGCTAAGTATATTTCAGAGGAGCCCAATTAGTAGGAACTTTTTTCTTGTCATCTTGGGCTTGCCTTACCTGACAGAGGAAGGCCAAAGGTGAGGGGAGTGCAGTAACTGGAAAAGAGCAGGGGCTGAGGGAGGGGAGTGCATTTGATAGCCCTGCAGATTAGAGGCAAGGTGGAATTACATTACTGCTAGTTGTTTTTGCACCAATGGTTTGGGATGTTAATTAGGGTGTTTTACATCTTCTTTGAATCTCTTCTCTCCACCCCAGCCTTTGGTGGAGTTTCTCTTCCTGAGCCCACTGGTAGTGGTAGGGAGCAATGGTAGGGAGAAGGGATTGAACACTAATTTTTGTGCTTTCTTTGCCAACCCTTTAGGTACCTAGAAAGTCTGCTTAGGCAGGCAAGCAGTGGGACCATCATTCTCTCCCCAGCCATGCAGGCCTTCGTCAGCCTCCCCAGAGAGGAGGAGCAACACTTCAGCGCAGAGGAGTTCTCTGACATCTCTGGTAAGCTCAGTTGCCTCATCTAGGAGCTGAGTCTTTCCCCTCAATACAGTATCTCGGCCTATGGACGTTATCTAAATTCTCTCATCTTCTCAGAAGCTCATTCTATACTCTCAGCATCTCTGCTAAATTCCACTTTAGGGGCAATAAAAAAGATTCTAAGCAAGACCCAGAATTGAGGAGTGGCCTGGGGGTTGAAGGTGGAGAGGGAAAATGAGGGGAGGCCTGGCCAGAATGGCTCAGTGGTTGATCATTGACCTATGAACCAGGAGGTCATGGTTTGATTCCCGGGTCAGGGCACATGCCTGGGTTGTGGGCTCTATCCCCAGTGTGGGGTGTGCAGGAGGCAGCCGATCAATGATTCTTTCTCATCATTGATGTTTCTATCTCTCTCTCCCGCTCTCTACCTCTCTGAAATCAATAAAAATATATTAAAAAGAGGGGAAAAAAGAAAAAGGAAAAAAAGAAAATGAGGGGAGTTGGGAATGGGGCAGGTGTACTCCAGTCCCTGAAAGGATTTATTTTTTGAAGGGTAGTAAATAGTTATTTTTCCATCTTCCCAAAGAATAAAATAGTAGGACATACATATAATGAAGAGTAAAAGATAAATGTAAGGAGGATATTCTCATGCTTGGAATTATTGTTATTATTTTTAATATATTTTTATTGATTTCAGAGAGAAAGAGAGAAAGAGAGAAACATCAATGATAGGAGAGGATCATTTTTCGGCTGCCTCCTGCAAGCCCCCTATTGGGGTTCGAGCTCACAACCCAAGCATGTGCCCTTGACCAGAATTGAATCAGGGACCCTTCAGTCCGCAGGCTGACGCTCTGTCTACTGAGCCAAACTAGCTAGGGCAGTGGTCGGCAAACTGCGGCTCGCGAACCAGATGCGGCTCTTTGGCCCCTTGAGTGTGGCTCTTCTTTCCCCACAAAATACCGCGTGCGGGCGGGCATGTACAGTGCGATTGAAACTTCGTGGCCCATGCGCAGAGATACTGTATTGAGGGGAAAGAAGAGCCACACTCAAGGGGCCAAAGAGCCGCATGTGGCTCGCGAGCTGCAGCTTGCCGATCATTGAGCTAGGGTATGCTTGGAATTATTAAACACTGATCCGATGTTAAGGTATCTTCTTTCTTAGGAATAAATTTTAGAGTCTTAATGAGTGCTTAGATTATTGATGTTTAATAATGATAAAATAATGGGTGGCATTTATTGTGGGCTAAGTTGTCAGTGTTCTTGTGTATAAACTCATATAATTCTCACAAGAGCCTTCGGGTAGATATTCTTATCACCCCCATCTTACAGATGAGGACACTGAGACACAGAGAGGTTAAGGAGCTTGCCACAAGTCACACATTCATAAATGGTAGAACTGGAATTTCAACTCAAGGCAGTCAGATTTCAGAACCTGGGTGCTTAATCACTATGTAGTGCTGCTTCCCAGTGTATAGAAGTGCTTTTGTGTCTCAAGGGGAGCCAGGTAATGAGTGTGTAGTGAATGAGTTGGGAAGTCATTCTCTTTTTAAAGAGGGCTTTGAGCCATACAGATCCTTTTTCATAGATTTGTTTTACTGACTGACTGATGGATGAACTCTTCTCCTTCCTCTCACCTCCATAAAAATCAGGGCACCTGCATGGTATCTGGTATAGGTAGGAGATGTTTCAGTGACCTGCCCTTTCCATTCTTCCTCTTCCTTAGGGATGTTATCAGAGTCAGAGTAGCAATTCTGTTTTTCCAGCTCTGCCTTCTTCCTATGCTCATTCTCACTCCAGCCGTACTCTTCATCTGCTGGAGGCTTCAGGTGTCCCCTTCTCATCAACTCCACCCACAAACTGTAGGCAGCATCTAAAATCAGCTTTGGGTCTTGCTGACAACTGACAAGCAGCAGGAGATAATGCCGATTCTCCAATCTGCCACCCCCACCCCAATTTCCCTGAGTTACCATGGTAATGGGACAATGCTACTCCAAAAATAGAGAGATGAAAAGAGGAGGATGCCCTAGGGTTACTAGCCTGAAGTAGAAGAGACTAGAGTAAGGAGGTTTGGCAGATCCAATCTGTCTCCATCTGCTCCAGAGAAGACAATTCAGCCCCTTTCCCTTTTGTCAACCATTTTAGCATTATCTAAGTTGACTGGTTAGGAAATCCTTTTCTAGTTCTCAACTTAATAGTCCTACTGTAAATATGTGACTCTAGAAATGTATTTGCTCTGGACAAGGCTCTGTGTCAGCTGCTGTGACCAGTCCCATGTCCTCAATCATTGACCTCAGTCAGGAGGTCAGCCGGTCCTGCTTTCAAGACTTGGGTGTGGAGCCTTGATTTTCTTTTTCTTCTGAAATTGTATTAACTATGTTAAACTCACTTTTTTTTTTACTGGTCTCTTGTTACTTCTGGTCTTTTATAGTTTTCTTTGCTGGGATAGTCCACACCCAAAGGCTATCACAACTAGAGCTTCTCCCTATCTGAATTTGTCATTGGTGTTTCTAATATGGGATTTCCCAGGTAGCTTTCTTTGATTAACAAAGAGCCAGAAGCAGGCTGGGTAGGGAGGGATAAAGCATTGGGGCACACTAGAGGAAAGAAGGATTTTGAGGGAAAAACAGTTGGAACTCGGGATATGTGTTGATTATGAAAAAAGAAAAGGTAGCTTAAGAAGAGGAAAACTTGGACAGTGAGGTGTTAAATAAGGGAAGTAGAGGGAGGAACATAGAAAAAGCCAAACCTTAGGTAAGGAACTAGTTGTGGTATCTGCTGGGACACAGGAAGGGGCAATAAGGCAATGTGCTAGGTTTCTAGTACCAGCTCTTGACTTGGTTAAGTGACCTTGGACACCACTTAACCCCACCTTGTTTGTTAAATATTTACCTCAGAGAGCTGCTAATAATGATCAGAAAAGCCCTTATTTCTATATACCTTTATCGTGTTCTAAGGTTTTTATACTGTTTCTTATTACAAAATTTATCTTATTTGTACTAATATCAACTTTATTATTATTAGGGCAGATATTAATTTCTTCATTGTACAGAAAAGTAAACTGAAACTCAGAGAGGGTCAATGACCTGTTTAAGGTCTTACAATTAGTAAAGCTTCAACAACTGGTCCAGCAAGAGTGAAATCCAGGTACCACATAAAGGGACTTGAGAAAGTATAGATTCTTACAAGAATGTAAAGTAAATAGTTATCATTTGTGGTAAGTCTTGGTGTGAGTACCAATGGGAAGAGGGTAAATTGTCCTGTCACAGGCAGGCCAGATCTGTCACTTTAATGCAGGATATCAGGTCACTTTTGCTCCTCAACTTCCTACTTCCTTTCCTTGCTGAAAACATTTTAAATGTTCAAATTGCCCTATAGCTGTTATGCGAATGCTCCAGGGCCCTCAGAGCCTCACCTGGGATCTTTGAAACTCTTTTCCAGAGATGCGGGCCTTGGCTGAACTCTTGGGCCCCTATGGCATGAAGTTCCTGAGTGAAAACCTGATGTGGCATGTGACCTCTCAGATCGTGGAGCTGAAGGTACTGTGGAAGCACACCCCGGGTGAAAAGTTTAGCCACAGTGGAAGTGGGTCAGGAGTAGGAGACTGGGGGGAAAATGTACCATGGCTATTGTCTTTTCCTTAGTGTTTAATGTTTAATGCTTAATGTTTCTGTGTCCCCACTGCAGAAGCTAGTGGTGGAAAACATGGATGTACTTGTTCAGATCAGATCTAACTTTAGCAAGGCGGACTTGATGGCTTCTCTGCTGCCCCAGCTGACCGGTGAGCACCTCCCCTAAAGGGAAAAGGAATTGTGGGAAAAGCATTGTGGATGACAGGGGTTTTGGGGGATCTGGGGCTAGCTTGGTCTGAAGAAGCAAAACCATCACTATTTTTCTGTGTTCTCTTCTCTAACACTCTTCTTTCCCCTCAGGGGCTGATAATGTGCTGAAGCGCATGACCATCATTGGAGTTATTCTCAGTTTTCGGGCCATGGCCCAAGAGGGACTTCGGGAGGTGTGTTGGGGAAGTGAGGGCTGCCACAGAATCCCAGACACCTCTGCGGGGAGGGCTTGTATGAGAAGTTGTGGAAAGGGTTGGTGAGCATTGAGGAGAAAGGGTTTACTTTGGTAGAGGCCCTGGGAGATCTCTGGGGATGGATGAGCTGAGGAAACCTAGAGGCATGAGTGGAGGGTGGGGAGTTTGTTTAAGCTGATGTTCTTATTTAAGCTGAGACATTCCCCCCCCCCTTTGTTTGTTTTCACCTGTTTTTCAAGGCACTGAACACTGTCTGTTAATTCCTCTATGTTCTCTTTCCTCCAGGTTTTCTCCTCTCACTGCCCATTCCTTATGGGTCCCATCGAGTGCCTGAAAGAGTTCGTCACTCCAGACACAGACATCAAGGTAGAGTGGAGTACAAAGTGGACTCCAGTGGGGAGATATGTTATTGAAAAAGGATGTAGCTAGGATCTTATAAGGGAGAGAGGGCTCTGAGGAAATACTGTAGAGAGATGAGCCAGGATTTGAATAGGAAAACACTGGGGGAGATTTTATGAATAGAGAGAGGGGCATTGGTCAGACAAATATTCTTGGAGAGAGAGGGCAGAGCTGGGGAGGCATGTGGGGGTGGAGAGAAGTGGGAGCCTGTTGAGGCTGGGGAAACATTACAGGAGGGAGAGGGGTATGCTCTAAGACAATACCTGTAGGTTTTCACTTAAGATGTGCACACAAGTTCTCTCTTTAGTCAGGAGCTTAGGTACTTCTTATAAAAAGATTTGTTCCTTTCATTTCCACCCACCCTGCCTGCTGTCAGAGTTTCCTTTCTTTTTCTGGCCTATTCTTCCTACTAGTTTCGAAACTTTCTGGTTCCTCTATCTGTGTCACTTGTCTCAGGCCCCATTCTGCACTACAGAGATGGAGAAAGAAAGAGGGGCTTAGGAGACACCCAAAGTTAAACATTCCTCCCCGCTCCCCTTCCCTTCTTGCATTATCTTGTCTTCTGAATCACCTGGAACAAACAAGCATATTATGCAGGAAATACAGCTGAAGGTTGGGAACAAGGGCCTTCAAAACGCATAGGGCAGGCTATTCTCTTGTTGATTCCTTTAAGGGAGGGAGATCTGTGCTAAGAGGAAATTGGTCAACAGGAAGAATTAAAGTTAGATGTTAAGAAAAACATCCTTACCTTTAGATCAAAATAGTTGGGAAATACCCCTCTCTGTCTGTGCAAAATCAGGTAAGGGTCAAATGGTCATGGGGGCTGTTAGAGGGCGATGTTTCACTGGATGGCTGCGTGTTTTGACCAGTCTTTGATTTTATGGTGAGCCTGGATTTCTGGCAGCTGCTGATGTTGGGGCCAAATGCTCTAGTTTAGCCTGTCAGGAGCTTGTCTAGGTGATATCTCCCAGGAAGCCCTGAGCTTTAGGCTCTACCCGCTTGTGAAAATAAGCAGGTAGAGGTGGAGAGGGGGAGAACCTGTCCATCAGAGATTCTGCTACTGCCTCAGGGGGTAAAAAGATTAGGAGAAGAGAAAATAAGACCCCTTCAATCATCCCTTTCTTCATCCAGAAAACCACATGTCATGGATCAGGTCCCTGATCTCAGGCCATGGTTGTCATAAGCAGGGTCATCTAGTTAGTAGGGAATTTAAGTAAAGGACAAAGCAGAATGTAGCTAAGGTTTGCCTTCTGTGTTGAGTACCATAAGCAAAGTGTGTGTATATTGTTGTTTGTGGGGTTCTTTGCATACGATACTCTACTTGGTTGTCTACAATTATCCTTGTTCTCTCAGAACATTTTAAAGGTTGGTTTTTTTTTTCAATGTCAAGAGGGGTATAAGTAGTTGGTGTGGGAGAGGGGGGTTTGGGACTAGATCCTGGGAACTTGATTCTAAATACATTGAGGGATTCGGGTATCAATCAATAAATATTAATTGAGTGCATTCTGTGTGCTTAGCATTGTGTTAAAAACTAGAGAGGATAAAAAGAAACGTTCCTCGCTTTGAGATAAAGGAATAATTTTTATTAGTTTATTTGTGGCTCCATCAATCCCTAGGGTAGATAGAGACTTTACAACGTGTGGTCTAATTTATTTTTCACAAGAATTCTGAGGCGAGTACTATTACCCCAGTCTTACAGATGAGAAAAGTACTATTACCCCAGTCTTACAGATGAGAAAACTAAGTCTCAAAGAGGTTAAGTAACTTTTAGCTAAGATCACACATTTAGTAAGTTTAGAATTTGAACCAGATCTTCTTACTCTAAAGCCTTTTTTTCTCTCTTCTCCATGCCATAAAGTTTAAAAAAGAATTATAATCTAGTTGGTGAGATAAGTCATGTTTCACCTCCTGTCTGAAAAGACAACTGAAATTACCAGGTGGTGTGTATGACCAGGGCTAAGTCACTGGTAACAATTTAAGGAGGGAGACATGCGTTTGGGCTGGAGTAATCAGGGAGACCTTCACAGTGAATATGAGATTTGAGTTAAGCCTCAAGGAATGGGTGTCACCTAGATATAAGTAGAGGAGAGGAAAGGACACTGTGGAAGAGGAAAGCATATGAACCAAAGTAAGGAAGTAAATTGTAGTTTGGAAAGTGAATAAATTACCCTTGCTATATTGACTGTAGGAAGTGTTTGGGGAAATAAGGTTGTCAACATAAGAAACATTCAAACATTCAAATTTTTGTGAGCTTCTTTGAGCCAACCTGTTGACAAATGCCAGGAAGCAGACTCTCAACGGATTGAGATGATGCTCCAGAAAATGGCAGTTTTGCACCTTGTTTTATATATTACAATCAAAAGAGAAGTAGTAAGTGGGTTACATGAAATCCATTGGTGATAGATTATGGAGGTGGGAGAAATCAAAGCCGAGAGACCTCTGGGATTGGATAAAAAGTAAAATGAACCCTAACCGGTTTGGCTCAGTGGATAGAGCATTGGCCTGGACTGAAGGGTCCCAGGTTCGATTCCAGTCAAGGGCATGGACCTTGGTTTCGGGCACATCCCCAGTGGGGAGTGTGCAGGAGGCAGCTGAATCGATGTTTCTCTATCATGGATGTTTCTAACTGTCTCTCTCCCTTCCTTTCTGTAAAAAATAAATAAAATATATTTTTAAAAAAGTAAAATGATAGACACAAGCTTCTTTTACTTAGGTAGGTGCAGGATAGTTAACTGTAAACAATTAACTCAGTAGCAATGAAGGGATCTGTGGTCTCCACAGAGCAGTGCCTCTGCTTTGAGGGGTTCAGAAAAAGGAAAATTACTTTGACATTCTAAAATGACATGTTATTGTAGATGCAAAGGCAATAGACAGGCTCAGGTAAGGTAAAGATTGACCTTTGTCAGGGAAGATACCTGCTTAGGACATGACTACTCACTATAAACTGCTTTTAGTTGAAAAAGTTTTAAAATTTTTTTAAAATTGATTTCAGAGAAGAAGGAAGAGGGAGAGAGAGATAGAAACATCAATGATGAGAGAGAACCATTAATAGGCTGCCTCCTGCATGGCCAACACTGGGGATCAAGACCGAAAGCCGGGCATGTGCCCTGACTGGAAATTGAACTGTGACCTCATAGGTCAACGCTCAACCACTGAGACACGCTGGCTGGGCTAAAAAAAGTTTCAATTTCCAGACCGTCCTTTGTGTTGACTAGTACTTTAGGTCTCTGACTTTGCAAGGCCGCCGTGTAACCTGTCTCTGAGTAGTCAGGTTAGCAGGTGGCTCCTTTTTGTCCACAAGGTCAAGACAGTAAATTTGTACTATGGCATATGTGAATGACAAGCTAAAACATTTGGGTTCCCCACCCCCCATAAGTTAGAGCAATGAAGGAATACCTAGAAAAGGTGATAGTACACCAAAAGTTTAAAACCTGTCATCTAGGAATCCTGACTTTCTATAGCTTTTGCCAAGCACTTCTCTCCTGGGAATTGTCTCCAGAATGTTGTTTTCTTCTCTACCAGGTGACCCTGAGTATCTTTGAGCTGGCATCTGCTGCAGGAGTGGGCTGTGACATCGATCCAGCTCTGGTGACTGCCATTGCTAATCTGAAAGCTGGTAAAATTGGGGAAAGGGAGGGCTTGGGCCATATTTTGGGGTGGGAAAATGCCAATGTCAAAGCAGCCTTTTGTTTGGGATTGTGAATTCAGAGACTATAAACTGGTAACTAAGAAAAGACTTAAAGTGTGGTCCCTAATCCCCACAAAATATTTACACAGGCAATTTGGATTTCTAGTTAGAATCCAATCAGTTGACTTGTCAATCAGCTAAAAAGTATTGAGAGTCTGTTTGATGCTTAGCAAGTGCTCAAAGGAATTTATAATCTGGTTGGGGAAATAAGATGAATGCAAATGAAATGAGAGAACAGTACACAGTAGTACATAATTTCATGCTGAGTTGTGTGGTATAGCATCTAGTTCCCCAGAGTGATCTTGTGCTCTCCCCTCCCATATAATCACCTTGACATTGCTCACTTCTTCTCCAGGTCTCCCACTTGTCTCTCATACTTTCCATTACACATTTCCTGTGATTAGCACATTCATACTTATACACACTCAGGACCAAGGGACTGGTTTTAAGCCCTTTTATAATTTCTAGATTGGTTCTCCTTCTTCTCTCCTGGTTTTGATGAGACTCTTGCCTTTCCTTCCTGCCTCTCAACCTCATCACAGGTGACAGAGTGTCCCCAGACTGCTTGTCAGCAGAGCCTTTTGCTAAGAGCTTTGTTCAGTCACCAGAGGAAGCTTCCAAGGAGTTAGGCCCCTCATTATAAGTGGAGGCTAATCCTGTCCCCTTCAGCAATAAATGACCTGCCAATAGTGCTTTATAAAGCAGTGGTCACCAGCCGGTGGTCTGTGGACCACTGGTGGTCCATGAGGTCCGAAAGGTTGGTGACCACTTTTATAAAGTACTAGAGGCCCAGTGCACAAATTTGTGCACTGTTATAAAGTACTAGAGGCCCGGTGCACAGATTTGTGCACCAGTGGGGTCCCTTGGCCTGGCCTGCACCCTCTTGTGCCCTCAGAGGATGTCGGACTGCTAGTTTTGGCTCTATCCCCACAGGCACTGGGCCTCTAATATGCATATAAGATCTTTGGTTAATCTCTCGACACTCTTCCCCCACCCCCCTTCCCTCTGAGATTCATCAGTCTGTTTCATGTTTTCATGCTTGTGTGTTGAGTGTCTGCCCCCTGGTAGTCAGTGCACATCATAGCTACCGGTCAAACGGTTGAATGGTTGAATGGTTGCTTAGGCTTTTATATATATAGATGTTCATAGATATTTCTTATCCTCAGTAACTCTGTGAAGCAGAACCCCTGTAGAGGAATCAGGACTCCTGTTGGCCAACCTTACTTCTACTCTTTTCCTTCTTACCAGATACTTCATCCCTTGAAGAAGAATATAAGGTGGCCTGCCTGCTCTTGATCTTTCTTGCAGTTTCCCTCCCACTCCTCGCCACAGACCCTTCTTCCTTCTATAGCATCGAGAAGGATGGTAAGTAAGGAGTAGGATTGAGGAACCAGTGCTGTTTAACCCTACTAGACCGCTGTACCGATTTTTCGGTAATTTCCGAATCTGCCGCTATACCGCTGTACCTAATTTTTGGTACTTTGCCTAGACCTATTTTCTACAATGTCTCCAAGTTCCATCTTATTCTAACCACTTGTTTGCATGTAACTAACATTTTTCTATATCATGTTGGTTTTTTCTCTTTAATGCTCAGGAGCCCAGGTATAGGGGACAGTTAGGCTCAGGGCCTCAGGTCTGGTAGGGTTAAGTTACTGTCCTGGGGCAGGGAGGTGAGATGGAGATAGGTATCTATCTGGAAAATACAGACTTCTGGCCCAGGTGTAAAGTTCTATTTCAAAAAGCACTTGAGAATGGACTATCCGTAAAAGTCAATTCCAGTGAAATTTCATAGGAATATCCTCCTCCTAATCTCCAGATGCCTCCTATAGGTGTTAAATAGGGGTGGCCCAGACTGAAAAAATGAAAACTTCTCAGTTGGTCAGCCTGGGGTGACTCACTTTGTTAATTGCTTCTGTTTTTCTCTCCCTCTATCAATAATAACCTAGGTTACAACAACAATATTCACTGCTTGACCAAAGCCATCATCCAGGTGTCTGCTGCACTCTTCACACTCTACAACAAGAACATTGAAACTCACCTCAAGGAATTTCTGGTGGTGAGTGGGTCTAGGTGACAAAGAATGGAAGGTTGCAAAGTCTGGTGAGAATTGGTTTGACTTAAATCCATAGATGGTTATTGTTGAGCAGGCTTTGGAGTTTAACCTCCCATTTAATTCATTCCACTTTGTGAAAGTTCCCTAACAGCTATTGTTTCAGCCTCTGCCCAAATGCTTGCAAAGAGCATCGGTCTATGAGTCAGAAAAATCTGAGTTCGGGTTCTAGATCTGCCAGTAAGAAGTTGTATGACCTCTGAAGAGCCAAACTTTTCGGGCCTCAGTCTTTTCACTTATTAAATAGGGCAGGCAGTTAAACTAAATCCACCATTCACTACCTTATCATTAGGATCCCAAGGAGCTTGTTCAAATACAGATTCCTAACCCTTATACCAGTTCTACTGAATTAGAATATCCTAGGGTGAGTCCAGATCTCTGTTTTTATTTTTCTCTCTCTTTTTAATAAAAAATATTCTTTTATTGATTTCAGCAAGAAAGGGAGAGGGAGAAAGGGATAGAAACATCAATGAAGAGAGAGATCATTGATGGCTGCCTCCTGCACACTTCCCTACTGGGGATTGAGCCCGAAACTGGGCATATGCCCTGACCAGGAATCGAACTGTGACCTCCTGGTTCATAGGTCGATGCTCACCTACTGCCACACCAGCCAGGCCAGGTCTCTGTTTTTAATAAAATCTCCAGGAGATCTGAAGCACAATAAAGTTGGAGAGACACTGAGTTTCATAAGGCCCTTTCCAACTCTAATACTGACAAAAGGACAAACCTTTTTCAAATTCTCAAACTTTATCATAAATCAGAACCACCTAGAAAATTTCTGAATCAGTGAATTAGAGGCAGGGCTGGAAAATTAGCATTTTCAACAAGTTCCCAGGTTATGTTGATGCTGTTCATCCTGGGATTTCACTTTGAGAACCACTGGTCTAGATTATTACTAGGGTCTGGTGGTTATAACCTTAGGCTATGTCCAATTTGTTAAAAAAAATTGTTTTAAAACAAATTTTAGCCAAAGTTAGACTCTCTATAACTATCACCATTGATCTTAGCTTTGCTTCTGGAAAAACACAGAATAAGTATAATCTCTTTCCATTATTAAAAAAGGTCTGGAGTTTTCCATTCTAAATCCTTCATGGAGGAATCACATCCATACACTTCTGATACATGGTCCATTACCCACCGTCTCCTTGAGCATTCTTAGCAATAGGGAGCTTATTCATTTACAAAACATGGTCCTGACTTAAGAACCAGGGCCTCATCTGCCTCTTTTCAGAAGGAAACACAGAAGGTCATATTCTCTTAGGAATCATACCATTGTCTTAAGAAGTATATGTCAGGGACTTGGAAGCTTAGTAAATGAGTCTCTATTTAAACTGAAACAGCCAGTCTGACAGATGGACTCTGAGCATATCTATACTAATAAAAGGGTAGTATGCTAATTAAATCAGATGTATTCCGGACGACCATCCGGATGTCCTGCCAGACAAAGCCGCATGGGCTGCCTGAGGCTCAGGCAAGCCACGGATGGTGGCTGCCACTGCCCAGGGATGGCCCAAGGCTCAGGCAAACCAGGGATGGTGGCTGCCCAGTCGCCCAGGGCCGGCCCGAGGCCCAGGCAAGCCGCCGATGGTGGCTTCCCAGCAGCCCAAAGCTCAGTTAGGGGGTGATCAGGCTGGCAGGGGAGCAGTTAGGGGCATCAGGCTGGCAGGCAGAGGCGGTTAGGGGTGACCAGGTAGGCAGGTAGGTAAGTGGTTAGGACCCAGTGATCCCGGATTAGAGAGGGTGCAGGCCGGGCTGAGGGACACCCCTCTGTGCATGAATTTCGTGCACCAGGCCTCTAGTTAGATATAAAGAGGACTTACACCAGATCTCTGTTTCCCTTTTACCCTTTTTGTTTGCTAAATGCAGGAAATCTGAGTCTGGGATACAATTAATCATGTTTATCCCCCCCCCCCCCCCCACACACACACCTCTTTGACTTGCTGGGGACCCAGAGGTGAATGGAGAGGACAGATATTCGGGAGTTGACAGGAGGAGAATAACAAGCAGACTGTGTCTGAATCAGAGGCCAGGCTCTGTCTCTAGTCTGGTGGGGAGCCAGCTGTAAACAGCCGATGACCAATGGTATCTGGAGGCTGCCTAGGAAAAGAGATGAATCTCCTGGCATACAGCATTACCTGCCTTTGTTCTAGGTTCTTCCCTCCCCCTTGCATCTCTCCCCCAGACTCCCTCCTGTTGTCCACACTGGCTGGCTTACAGGCCACGTGCATCTCTAAAACCTAGGGAATTTGCCGCTTTTCCACCCTGAGATTCCAGGAACATTCCAGCCCTTCTTAACTTTTCTCCTTGATCTTTTAACTTCCTGTAGCCTGAGGCTGTCCTACTCCGACCTCCATAAAAAACTGCTTCCCTTACAAACTCTTCCCTTACAGGTGGCTTCCGTCAGCCTCCTGCAGCTGGGCCAGGAGACGGACAAGATTAAAACCAGAAATCGGGAATCCATTTCTCTGCTCATGCGCTTGGTATGTATCTGGTTTAAGTTGCTCTGGTGAAAGAGAGAGGAGAGCTAGAGGGTCTTTTGGTTCCTGGTATTGTCATCACTCAAAATCATTAACTAAGAATTTAATTCTGCCTGATCCTCTGGGTCTAGGTTTCATATTCTGATTAACATTCTAGACTTGTCCTGTAATCTCAAGGTAGAGTCTTCAAGGACTTCTCTGCAGGACAGGGCCTTCCTGGCCCTTTTTCTGCAATGTTCTAGAGTCTGACCTGGTGGGGCAGCTGTGTCCCTCCGCCATAACTACTTTCCCAGTGCACATTTGGCTTTTCTTGACCACTTCCTACCACCTAATTTCTTGTCCTTAAGAGTATTATGAAGAGGGTGCTGAATAGCACCGAGCTGAACTGGGGGAGGGGGAGGAGGGCTCTGAGGAGGAAGGGCTCTTAGATGAAAAGCTATAAGGCTGGGAGCCAGGGGAGCCAGGCATTAGGCAGCTCCTGCTATCTCGTCTTCTTTCTTCACAAGCTGTGCGCTTTTCCCTGCTTTGGCAGAAAGTTCTGGGAACTCTGACTCAGTTAATTTTTTGAAAATCTTTTCCCCATGATTCTGTTTCCCTCCTCAACACACTTACTCATTGTTTTTCTCAAAAAGTCCAATTCTCCAGGCTAATATTGCACTTGGCTGTGGAGGAGGGTTCCTGCCCTGGGCCCTGTGTGTAAGAGGCCCTCCTCTGGCCTATGGGGAGAGGATATGCCCACCTGGAGGTTGAAATATCGACTAGTATACTAGTAGTTTATTTGATTTATTTAGCCATATGGTATGTGGCCTTCCATTTGGACTCTTGGCCCAGGACCACAAATGTTAGGAGCAGGCATACCTGGGACTGCCCCTGGTTTCCTTTAAATATATGGGCAGTGAGTGGTATTCATATCTCAGTTTCTCCTGCGGCCAAAGGCCTAGGTTGGGCTGATTAAGGATTATGATGGAGAAAAGAACGGACATGAGGGTATGTGTGTGGCAGTGTATATGGTGAGGGGTGAGAGGACAGAGGAGGCAAATGAGGGCAAATGCTAGTATTGTGCTAGAGAGAGCACAATTTTTGGAGCAAGTTAATTAACCTTTGTGAGACTGATTCTTTGTCCATAAAAGTGGACAATAATTTTTATGTTAGAGTGGTTAGTATTCATGAAATAATATATGTGAACGTGCTTAGTATATAATAGATGCTCAAGAAATGTTAGTTCCCTCTCTCTGCTGTTCATTTTAGCTTCTGGATGGTTAAGCATGTCTCTTCATTTTCTCAGGCAGTTTTCACCTCTGTAGGGTTGGAGGTGATTCTGTATTGCCACCCAGCCTGACCTCTTCCTTCTGCTTTGCTCCCTCCTCCCCCACCGGCCCCAAAGTGTGAGGAGGCGGCTGCCCCTTGTGGCATTGCAGTGAGGCCTGCAGAGTGGCGGGAACAGAGAGCTAGGTCCTGCAGAGTGGCGGGAACAGAGAGCTAGGTCCTAACCAGGCGCTTTTTATTGGAGAGAGTGACAAAGGGACTAGCTGCTGCAAAGCAATTTAAATGCAAATGTTTCCACAGAGCAATTGGAAATTACTGAAGGGGAAGGAGCTGTATTCTGATATAAGAGGCTACTCATGTGGCCCCAAATCCTAGTCAGGCACTTCTCTCCCCCGGGGTCTTTCTGTCTTGGCTGTCAAGCCTGGGCAGTTCCCACCCCAGTATTGCCATCATGTTCCTGGGTTTCACAGGGGAAAGGGATGACTCAGTCATAGAATTGTGGAATCTTAGATGTCAGAATGAGGCCAGATCCTGGCAAGTAGTCCAGTCCTTCCAATTCATAGGTGAGGAAACCGAGGACAGGGAGAGAAAGATGACCTTCAAGGTCTCCCCCAAGATATACAGGCAGATTTGGGACTACAAGTTTCTTGGCCTTCATTCTAGGGCTGTTTCCACTACTATGAATCTCTTCCAGTCAGGAGCCCTGTTATTTTCTGTGCTTAATGGAGCAAAGAATAGGAAGTCTTGGGCCAGTGAATCCTTCTTCAAGCTGTCACTCATTTCCCTGTACCCGAGGGTTGTATCCTGGAATAGAGATTTGATCTCTGTCTGGCTTAAGGTTTCAAAGTCTTGCCTAGCAAAAAATTCTTTCCTTTATCCAACCTAAGACCTGAGCCACGGTGTTACTGGCAGATTTCCTCCCGTCAGCCTGCAACGTCTGCTCTTCTGGGGCTGTTGTGTGTATTGTGTGTGCATGTGCTCGAGAATAGCAGGACCTTACACATTTCAAAGCCTGAAAAGGACTTCAGAGAGAGAAGCATGTTAGAGTAGATATGGTAGGTTCTCTTTTCTCAGTGAATTTTCAGGACTTGAAACACTAGCCATATTGGGGAGGCCCCATCTGTGTGAATTGCCAGAGGATATGGGACACTTCTCTCCAGAGTGTGTCTTTAGTCCCAAACCTCTTGAAGAGGAGAGTACTGAAGGAAAGACACCCTGTTCCTTTCTCAGAGGCAGGGACCCTCCAGCCCAAGGCTAAGTTGAACAGCTCTTGGCTAGTATGCCCTCCTACCCTTTCTTATCCAGGCATCTTGATCTATCTTTCTGCTTGGCTGTGGGGGCTGCTGGGATTATTACCACAGTACATAAGCTTCTAATTAAACTAATTAATCATGCCCGCTCCTTTATGCAGCATCCTTACTGCTCCACCAGCACTGCACTGAGGGAGGGAGGACACTGAGGCCCAGCACAGGAGGACCGTTGGGGATTCCAGGCCCCCCTTTCTTGGCCTGAAACAGCCATTGTTTCTTTCTCTGCCAAGCTTTGTCATGATCACTTTTACTCATCCTTACCTGCATCTGTGCTGCCCACCTGCCTATGCTTTGGTATCCAGAACAGGAGAGAATGGGCTTTTCTGCCACAAGGGAAGCGTTTCTTTCCTGCCTTCTGTTTCGGAGCCCTTCATATAACCTTGAGGAGGGGGACAGGGCCATTATAATGGAGGGGAAGAGGCCACATTACTTTCCTAGAGCTGAACCAAGTGGGGGAGACAAGGGAGTGTGACTTGGAACCCTGTTCACTGTAACTGGGATGGCCTCCGAGGGCCCAGGGGCCTGGATGACAAGGAACAGGTGTCACAGAGGTACGCCCTACCTGAGGTTCTCATCTCTTGGCCTCTTCTCTTCCAGGTGGTGGAGGAGTCCTCCTTTCTGACCCTGGACATGCTGGAGTCCTGTTTCCCTTATGTCCTGCTTCGAAATGCCTATCGGGAGGTTTCTCGAGCCTACCACCTGAACCGAGTGTTGACCAGCGCCCACTGAAGGGCCCTTTGGACCTGCCTACACCCATGCCATACTGGAAGCTGTGGGCATTTTCTCAAGGGGTGGGGAAATGGTGGGGTCTGGAGCCAGAGCAGATGAGCAGGCTTATGGACGAACAGTCCAGGGCTGAGAAATCATCGAGAGGTGGGGCAGGCTGGGGGAATGGAGGACAGTTAGTAGGGGCATGGGGCCAAGAGTGTGAATTTTTACAATGAAGAAATGAGTACAAATATATTTCTGTTTCCTGGTGAGTCGAGCTTGAGCTCTGACTGGCATGGGTCTCTCCGACGACCTTCATCACTATTGTAGGATAATGCGGGCGGACGGAGATGATCAATCATCATATTAAACCATAATGAGCTTATAATCCTCCCACTGGAGCTGCTATTGTCTCCTGCACATTCATTAGGACGATTATCTCCTCTCTTCCTCTCCCAAACGTGTTCAGCAAATATTCAGCCTGTTCCTACTACAAAGTCACAGCAAAGGAACCCCTCTTTTCCTTTAGGAGTCATAGGTCTCTTCCTCTGCCTCCAGCTCCCCTGCCTGCATGGGCAATGAGAGATATTCACTACCCCCAAATTTTTCACCTGCCCCACACACTTTGCGGGTAACAAGTAAGTTCTCCCATCTGCTTAATTTTCACCACTCCTGACATCACCAAAACCCAGAGCAGAGGGTCAGTCTAGGTAGTTCTAGGTCACATGACAAATTGGATTAGAATCATGTGGTTTCCTTCCTGGACCATTTGGGGTACTCTTCCTCCTATCTGGAGGGACTGATTTAACCCAAATCCCCTTGTCGTCTTGGGTACAGCTGTTGCTCCAGGCAGGGATTTCTCTTCTACATCTTAAATTTCACAGACCTCATTAGGTTATAGAGCCCGTAGAGTGGGTATACTTGAGGGAGTACAAGCTGTTTCAACTTAGCCCTTTTCTGCCCTAATTAGAATTTCAAGTGTCACAAAGCCTGGGGCGTTCAAGATAGCACTAAACTAGATTTGGTTAACCCCATGGCAGGAAACACTGGCCTCCATTGCATCACTTCTGTGCACCCACTGCCAGGGAGGCTGGAGCAACAGATCATAGATGTCACAGGTGTAGAGTGGTTGGAATGGCAAATAATTAACTAGTTGATTAATCAGGGTCGTGTTCAGACTTCCCCGATAAAAGGGAAGCAATTATTGATTTTCAGCAAAACCATCTGGCTTTTATTAAAGCTATTTAATAGCTGTTTTTGGACTTTGTATGCATGTTTGATTTTTATTTCTCGAGACCTAGGCCTTAGTCCATACTTTTAAAACTTGGCACCCATAATCAGTGCCCCAGTTTTTCTTAGCAACAACTGCCTGCTCTTTAGGATAGAAGCAACAGCGGATCCTGCTTCCTGCCTCAGCAAGTTGTCCTTCCTTGCAGCGGAAAGGACATTATGGTCTAAGGCAGCGGTTCTCAGCCTGTGGGTCGCGACCCCTTTGGCGGTCGAACGACCCTTTCACAGGCGTCGCCTAAGACCATCCTGCATATCAGATATTTACATTACGATTCATAACAGTAGCATCATTACAGTTATGAAGTAGCAACTACAATAATTTTATGGTTGGGTCACAACATGAGGAACTGTATTTAAAGGGCCAGAAGGTTGAGAACCACTGTAGGAGTGATTCAGGGTCAGGCCTACTGAGACTGAGGGCAAAGTTGATGAGGAAGAGAAGGCTCAAAAGTATCTGAACAACCTCTCTTACACACACGTCTCTGCGCGGGTCACCATCTCGAGGAGACGGAGACCCCCTTTTCATCTACATGTGGAACTGCTTAAAAGGAGCCTCCCAGAGGACCAAACACAAATTGCCGCAGGGGAATAGAGGGTAGACATAATATCTTTTATTTTTTAAATTAAAAATTATATTGAGCCCTGCCAGCATGGCTCAGTGTTGAGCATCAACCTATGTACCAGGAGGTTGCAGTTTGATACCCTGTCAGGGCACACGCCCAGTGGGCGGGGTGGGGGTGGGGGCCACACGCGTTTAGGAGGCAGCCAATCAATTGTTCTCTCTCATCATTGATGTTTCTCTCTCCCTCTCCCTTCCTCTCTGAAATCAATAAAAATATATTTTAAAAAATTATATTGAAGTAGTTAATCCAATGAACTAATGCAGAGAGATCCTGTGTATCTTTACCAGTTTCCCTCAATGGTAACATTTTTCAAAAACGATAGTATACTATCATAACCAGGATATTGGCAGTGACACCATCCACTGAGCTTATTCAGACCTCCCCAGCTTTACCCATTTCTCTGTGTGTATGTAGTTCTGTACAGCTGTCTCACATGTAGGTTCATGTATCCACCACCTCGATCAAGATACAGAACAGATCCAACACCACAAGGATCCCTCATGTTGCTCTTTTATAATAACACCCACTTCCCTCCTGCAGCCTCTTCCCCTTCCCGGACCCCTGGGAACACAAATCTTTCCCCTTTTCGAAAATGTCATTTGTCATCATATCTCTTTATAAACATATAACTACACATACATTTCCCTACCACATATACTTTTTCAAAGTGTTCTTGCATCCTTATGATATGTCTGCAAGGTAGCCAGGGGAGGCTTCCTTATTTCAGGCCGGTAAACAGATTCAGAGATGTTAAGTGACTTAATGAAGGTCATGGTTAGCCGTACATCTAGACCTGGGAGCTGAGCCTGATACTCAGTCCTAGACCTTTGCTCCCTGCCAAGACTGCCTCTTATTCTGGGAAGACTTAGTTGTTCGCATCCAGAGACCCTAGAACAAGCAAACATAGGAGAAGGTTAGGACAAGATGGCCGTAACCTCTGGAAACAAAAGATGAATGCCTAGAGCTAACAGGACCTCTCAGCACTTTAGGCAGTTTGCTTTCCAGAAAGGCCAGGATGGTCTCTGACCCTTTGCAGCCTAGGACACAATCAACTGTGAACTGCTTTCTGCTCTCAGATCCCAGCTTGCTTTGTTCAGGCCTAAAAGGAACTGAGGCATGAGTATCCGGGAGAAATTCTGACCTTGATTGCTTGTCTTGCAGGCAGAGTAGGCTGTAGCCTCAGCGTTTTCATTAGTGCAGTGTTTTCATTACAATCTCCATTAACTTGTTTGCAGCAATGAGAGGGAATTATCCTTCCTACCAGGCCTGTTGGTGAGATGCTTGCAGAGGAGCTCCCATTCCTTTGGGCATTAAAGACACGATGGTGTTCAGTCCATTGGGCAGGTGAGGGCAGCCTCTAAATGCAGTGGGTCTGCGGCCTGGACAAGGGGGTTTATCTTTGGCACTCTGCCCAGGAGGTAGAGACAGCTGCGGTTTGAGCTGTACCCGGGAGAGGGAGATCCCAGCTCAAGTCAAGACTTCCTTAACCTTAGGTCCTCATGCCTGTATCAGTTCTTCTCCAACAAAGTTTCACTTTGAGAAGAAGCTGGCACATGGTTGAGATGTACTCATGAGGTTGGGGGGAAGAGTGTTCTTCCAGTCCTCCTCCCCACAGGGCCTCCTGCTCCTCCTAAGTACCTGTCATCAAAGGAGATGAAGATGAATCCCCCCCGCAGCCCCCCCCCCCCTCCCCGCAGCCCCCACACTTCAAGGAGTTGTCAAGCACGCTGCCTGCCACCTGCACAGGGAGCTGGAGCAGCAGGCCACCTTGCAGGCTGAGGAAGTGAGAAGTTAACTTGAGCTGAGTTTGCAGCTCTGGAGAGATTGAGGAGCAGGCTTTTCTTTTGTCACTTTGGAAGGAGAGGATTGTGAGGGCTCCCCTTGAAATAGCATTCCCGTAGGAGGCAGATCACATCCATCCGTCACCACTGCCAAAATGTCATTTTTGGTCTCTATCAAACTCAAAGCTTGTTGGGTGGGATTGTGGGTTAGGGGAGCGAGGAGGCACGGTCTCCAAGGGGCAGGGGCAGGGGCAGGGGCAGGGGCAGGGGCAGGGGCAGGAGCAGTTCGAAAGCAGAAAAGGAGAGGAAGGAGGTTGGGCAGAGGAGCCTGGGAAAAGTGGGAGCAGGGGACAGGAGGAAAAGACAGGGAGAGAAGAATAGCAGGACTTTTAAGCCTATGAATGGAACATATATATATATATAGATAGATAGATATATTATGTATATATCTTGTCTAGAGCAGTGGTTCTCAACCTTCCTAATGCTGCGACCCTTTAATACAGTTCCTCATGTTGTGGTGACCCCCAATTTCATTGTTACAAATTGAACATAATTAAAGCATAGTGATTAATCACAAAAACAATATGTAATTATATATGTGTTTTCCGATGGTCTTAGGCGACCCCTGTGAAAGGGTCGTTCGACCCCCAAAGGGGTCGCGACCCACAGGTTGAGAACCGCTGGTCTAGAGGGAGGGTAAGACAGAAATGGGATTGGATTGCAAGAGGAATGAGGTTGAGGTTAGACGCCAGGAATGGTGACTAGAGAAAGAGAAAGAGCCACAGAACGGAAAAGCACTAGAAAAAGGTTGGGAGACTTGACCCAGGCTTTGTTGCCTTACTCTCTGTGGGACCGCATAATTTTTCTGGGCTTAGTTTTCCCATTTGTTAAATGAAGGAAGTTAGATGGAGTCTAAAGTCTCTTTTACAAGTGACTTTTAAAATAATTATATTTTTATTGATTTCAGAGAGGAAGGGAGAGGGAGAGGGAGATAGAAACATCAATGATGAGAGAGAATCACTGATCAGCTGCCTCCTGCATGCCACACACTGGGGATCAAGCCCCCAAACACCCAACCCAGGCATGTGCCCTGACCAGGAATCGAACGGTGACCTCCTGGTTCATAGGTTGATGCTCAACCACTGAGCCACGCTGACAGGACTACAGTAACTTTTGGGGGTGTGCGAATTTTTCTTTTCTTAAAATGTGTTAGAAGATGGGGGCCTGTGAGAGCCGGGGTGGGATATACCACTGTGTTGATGTGAAAATACCTGCTTAATTTGGGATTCTCTTTAGTTCTAATCCTAATTTTCTTTTCTTGTTAATCCTCACCTGAGGATATTTCTTCCATTGATTTTTAGAGGGGGGGGGGGGGGGGGAGAGAGAGAGAGAGAGAGAGAGAGAGAGAGAGAGAGAGAGAGAGAGAGAAACATACATGTGAGAGAGACACATGGATTGATTGCCTCCCCCATGAGCCCCAACTGGGGCTGGGGATTGAACCTTGACCAGGAATCGAACCAGAGATCCTTCAATGTGCCGGCTGCTGCTGTAACTATTGAAACACACTGGCCAGGGCTCCAGCCCATTCTTTTTCAATTGATAAGGACTGCAATTACTCTCAAATTTTGAGAATTGGATTGTATAGGAGCCTGACTGGGATCTCAGATGCAGCTATGCCTTGGCTGGCACTGTTCCTGGCAAGGAGGGGAAGGGTGTGTGTATGATGAAGTTAGATGGACAGAGATGGGGAGTCCCGGTATTCTTTCAGCGTTTTCTCCATCTCTGACTCTGCCATCTGCTGTCTCTGTACTTCTGGGAGCTGGTTCTGCTGATACTTTTCAGCCCTGCCAGACCTGAAGGCCTGGCCTAACCTAATTGCCTAAAAGGCAGTTCTTGAATGTTGGGAGTCTTCACTCTGTCCCTTCACTTCTGTTTTTTCTTTTTCTTTTCTTTTTTCTACTCCATTGCTTGGGAAGTGGGGAGCCTCCACCTGATATTTAGAATGGAGTAAAGATCTTCTCCTGATCACCCCTCCTTCCAATCTCCAGAGTTCTTGGAATTAAAATTTACACCCTGGGATCCTGGACTAGTTAGTGCATACATCTCCACCTTCTGTTTCCATAGGATTTCCCCCAATGCCAAAGCAAGTGGCCATTAAGGGGAACAATTCTAAGGAATGCTGAGGTAGTTCCTGCCAGAGTCCAAAGTAGGACTCGGTTTGATGGAAGAGGCTTTGTCCTGTTACAAAGTCTTGAGTTCAAATTCCAGGTCCTGCTTCCTAAAAGTGTTGTGATCAGCGAGGCTGTTTTGTGCTGGGTCCCCAGCCACTAGATTTCTTTCACTGAAGACAGAATAAGAGGAAATAATCTGGAAAGGCTACAGGGGGGTTGAGACGAATGATTGGGAGTGATTTCCCGGCCCTCAGGGAGTTATATTTAACCAAAAGAAGATGTGGTGCTGTCTGCGCTGGTGGATTCTCTCTGGAAAGCTTTAAACTTTGGAGAAACTTCCGCGGCCAGGAGGGAAGTTAGACACCAGCAGGAAGGCCACAGCGAGGAGGACATGTCAGGAAGACCAAGCAAATGGAAAAAAGCTAACCGCAAAAAGGAGTGGGATACCAGGCAACTCAGCGCAGACCCTGAACTTTTCTCTTCAAAGGCTGGAGCCCAAAGGGAGCCTGGTCTGGGGCTGGGTTCTGATGGTGGTGGCTTCACTCGGCCAGAGTGCCAGGCCACACCCCCCCTCCCAAGGCAGAGAGAGGCGGACTCCAGTCCCGACCCCCCTCACACGGACGCTAGGCACATGTGAATACATGAAACCCACACGCACGTCCACAGAAACTCAAAACGCACAACAAGAGGACCCACGCAGCACCCACCGCGAAGTCCTGCCGCCGCCACCGCGGGCGATGCGCTGGGTAAACACGCACTTACATCCCCCCGCGGCGGGCACGCACAGTCTCTTACCCCGGGCGCGGGGTGCGCGCACCCGCCCTCGGGCGCTTTTGTCTCTGTAAGCCCCCGGCTTCCAATCGTTCCCCTGGGAGGAGTGGCTGCCAGGAGTGAGAGACGAGCGGGCAGGCCGACGAGAAAGGAGAGGAGCAGAGGGCGGGGGAACCGGCCGGGGGAGGAGGGGAGACCGAGGAGGCGGCTCTGGCTGCGCGCGGCAGCGGCGGCGCGGAGAGCTGGGACCGGGAGCCCAGAGCTGGGCAGCGGGAGAGGAGCAGCCGCAGGAACTGCAGCTCTGCCAGCTTGGGCTGAGCCTAGAGATACCGGCCTGGCTGGTCCAAGCCAGCCGCAGGTGGGAAGGGGCTGGGATGGGGGTGAGGGTCTTCCGGTGAGGGGCTGAGGCTGAGCCGCGGTGCTGTCTCCTCCCTCTGTTCCGTAGACAGAGGCTGAGCATGGAGCTGTCCCCTTGCAGCCCTCCCGAGATGCTGGAGTCGGATTGCCCGTCACCCCTGGAGCTGAAGTCAGCCCCCAGCAAGAAGATGTGGATCAAGCTTCGGTCGCTGTGAGTCCCCGGCCCGGAGTGGGGGGAAGGGATCTCAGGGCGCCTGGAGAAAGGGGGAGGGGGGGCGCAGGAGTCGGGCTGGTGGATGTTTTCCGGCACACATGTTGGCAGGTGCAAGGAAACACACTGCTCTGACACGAGTGGCCAGGCACATGTGCAAGGCATGTGCTGGCTGGGTAGAGCAGGTTTAGGAGTTGCAAAGCTGCCGATGTGGACCCCCGGTGAGACGCAGCGCGGAGAGGATGTGCGGTGCAGTGTGTCAGGGCTGCAGACCGGCAGCATCCAGGAGGCGCCAGGCTGACTCACACGTATCCATGTGCAGGGTTGTGCAGATGTGAGACACATCACATGTGTGTGTGCATGAGTGTCTGAGGGTCACAGGGATGTTTGTAGAATGATTGCACACAGCTGCAGATGCAGTGCACGGGGATTCTAGTGCCAACCTGTGGGTCATATGAACCTCTGCTGGGATTGGTGGCTTCTGCCTCCTGCATCCTACATGGGGTGGAGGTTGGGGGACCCCCATACCTGAGCTGCTCCTTCCTCTTGAGGCCTGGAGCCCCACTCTGCACTTCTCCTGGGATCTGGAGAAGTGGTAGAACCCCTACCTAGGATCTGGAGGAGGGGGGTAGGGTCCCTGCCTGGGAGCAGGGAGGTGAAGAATGATTGGTAGGGCAAGGTAACTGTCCAAGTCTGTTTGTTGCTATTGCGTCTCCCTAGGGTCTCCAAGCACATTTAGGCACCTTTTCTCATTGTTGCAGGATGAGGGCATGTGGGAAGGAATAAGCGAGGAATAAATGAGGGAAGTCCCAAGGAGGAGAGGAACTTTTCTTCCTGTTCCTGAGAAAGAGAGGGTCTGGTCAAATGCAAGCCATGCGCCAACCTCCCAGTCAGCTGGGAGTGGGTAACCCCCGCAGTCTGTTGATTCTTAAGCAGAGAACAAGGGAAGGTGCTCCTCTCCCTCATATGACCCCCCATCGACCCAGGAAAGAGGCTGTGGATGTTTAACGAGGGAAGACAAGTAGCATAGCCCCTAAACCCAGTTCCTCCCCAGTATCCTCAATAGTGAGCACTGAAGCTTCCATTTCTGGGCTCTGGCCGAGAGGGAGAGATGAGGTAGGAGATGGCTAGATGCTTATGATTGTGTTGTTTTAAAAAATACTTCAACTGCGGCAATAAGATGATGTCTTTTTACTGGGTGGTGGGACCGATTCATATACTAGCTGCTTGGAGAGGCCTGAGGGAGAACTGAGGCATAGTGGTAACAAGGCTTGGAATCCAAATGTGCTTCGCAGTTCACCCCTTTGCTGCCTCCAGCCAATGCAATTTGCGGGCTCTCTGAAGCGCAGCCTTGGAATGAGCTCTGGGATGAAGAATGGAAAACCAGATTGAATTGATTTTTGTTGGGAGGAGCGCTGGTTGATTCTTGTTAGAAAACTGTGCTAGTAACTGTTAATAAGATCCGAAGAGGGACAGGTAAGGAAGTGGTTGAAAGGCAGAAAAGGGGCCTCAGGGTCTATAATTCGAGAATTCAAGGCATCCTGGGATGACCCCCTCTTAGCGCTAGTGGTCATCATGTACTTCCCCAGCCGCTATTCCAGGTAACAGGTCCTGCAAAAGAGCAGGTTTTACCATCTCCCTTTCTAGCCAAAAGTCTTTCCTGGAGGCAGATTGCTATTTCTTCTGATGTGAGAAGTTCTCATTGGCGAGAGAAGAGGATCCCCAGAGGAGGCACTGAAACCTGGGGAGCGGAGGGAGCAGAGGCGCTGCCCCTACAAAGTGTGTTAGTTGACCTGTCCTTACAGGAGAGGGTGGCAGACAAGGATCACTAATTATATTGATTAGATTATCTGGTTTCACGCACTTTAGCAATCTGAACCTTAAGAGTGCTAGCTTATGCGTAATAACGTACCCAGAAAAGTACCATCTCCTCAAGTCCCACCAAGACAGAGTCCCAATCTCACTTCCTCAGAGCAGAGAAAGATCTTGGTATCAAGGGAGATCCCAAGTTGATGGGTGACTGGATTTGGCCCTGTTTGAATATTGGGGAGGCTTTGCCAATCAGATGAAGGGAAATAAAAGGACTTAGGACTAGGGTAGGCGAGAGAGACTCTCCAACTCTCAGGGTTGAGGGCTAATCAAAAAAGGCATTCCTACCGAAACCGGTTTGGCTCAGTGGATAGAGCGTCAGCCTGCGGACTGAAGGGTCCCGGGTTCGATTCCGGCCAAGGGCATGTACCTGGGTTGCAGGCACATCCCCAGTAGGAGATGTGCAGGAGGCAGCTGATCGATGTTTCTAACTCTCTATCTCTTTCCCTTCCTCTCTATAAAAAACTCAATAAAATATATTTTAAAAAAAAAAGGCATTCTCTCTTTTAGGTGGAAATAGAACACCCCTTCCTCCAACCCAATACCACCTGTTCCCAAATGGGCTTGAGTGGGAAGGGGTTGTTTAGTCTGGAAATGGGGGGGTGGGGTGGATGAAAATAATTATCTCAGGACTGGGTACTGAATAGAAATGAAAGCAGATGGAGTATATCTATATCTATCTATATCTATATCTATCTATCTATCTTTCTATCTATCTATCTATCTATCTATCTATCTATCTATCTATCTATCTATAAAGGCTTTGATTCCCCTACTCAACATATCCTATATCCATTATGCCCTCCCCTTCCCCCCTATACTCTTTTAATTTCTAATTTAGGACATCTAGACTCTCTTCAGGGAGGCCAGGCCTGATGTTTTTGCCCCTGGTTAAAAAGTGATATAATAGCCCTGACCGGTTTGGCTCAGTGGATAGAGCGTTGGCCTGCGGACTAAAGGGTCCCAGGTTCGATTCCAGTCAAGGGCATGTACCTTGGTTGCAGGCACATACCCAGTGGGAGGGGTGTGCAGGAGGCAGCTGATCGATGTTTCTCTCTCATGGATGTTTCTAACTCTCTATCCCTCTCCCTTCCTCTCTGTAAAAAAAATCAATAAAATATATATTAAAAATGTGATATAATATAATTGTGCAGGGCACTTTCTTTCTGGGAAGGGCATCCCAGGAATTTTGTTCCCACACTAGCATGCTGCCAAAGATAAATCCAGAATCTGGAGCATATGAGCTGGAGAGTCCCTAACTGGGGTTTCATCTCTACCTAGCAGGAAAATGTTCCTAACTAAGCAGACTCAAGCTGAGACATGAGAGGCTGGGGCAGGCAGTCTGGAGATGATGGGTTGACCAGGATGGTTTTTAGCATCTCTCATCCTAAGATGAAGGAATTGACTTCTCTGAGACCTGAGGGCTTTCAGGAGTAAGGGGGAAGGTCAGTAGGAGTAGAAGGGTTTTTTATGTCTTTTGGGAATCAAGAAAAACTATGAGTAGAGATTGGTTTGCTACCCTTAGCTCATTCATTCATTCATTCAACAACTATTAATTTTCTCCTGTGTGCCATGTGATGTGCTGGATGCGGGGGATATAGTGCTGCACAAAATGAACACAAGCCCTGCTCCTATGGAGCTTGTAATTTGGGTCAACTCCAACATTTTGATACACCTGTTCCTCATTTTGATACTCCCACTCCAGTGGTAAAAGTCTACCACTCTGGTTTCTGCTTAATCTTTTCCTTTGGGGGTTACAGGAAAGTACAAGCATCACTCTCTTCTCTCTGCTTCAGTTTATCCTGGAATTTTACAGACAGAATCTTCCTCTTCCTTTGGGATAGTACAGACACAACCCCTTTCTCCACATGGTACACACTCAGGACTCTCAAGGTCTAGGCTCAATGTCATAAGCTGCTGTTCAAGGTCATTAAGGCGAGCTGTAGCAAGGACCCAGTTGGGGATTATTTTTGCCCATCTTGTTTCGTCAGTCTAATGTGGTACCTGGAATATCATAGGCACTCGATAAATAAAAGAAGAAACAAATGAACGAATGGTTATCTTTGAATATGTCACCGAGCCCAGGTCTGACTCTGATTCTGTGGTGCGTGTGTTCCTGCGTGCATTGCGGGGAGTAGGAAATGGGGGTGGAAGAAAGGGCGATGTTGTTTTTTGAGAAGGTGATGTTTAAAAGGTGTGGGGTTTGAGTGCCTGAGAACAGAGCCTGGGACTGAAGGAGTTACAGAGAGGATACATAAACGACGTTATTTGGATGTGTGAACGAGATGTATCCGCATGATTGTGAATGCTCGACATGTTTACATACGATTCTGGGTAAAGGTTGATATATGTGCTGGGGAGTTTGTGGAGCCGGAGTTCTGTGACGATGTCTCTTTGTTTTTATGTTTATAAATGGCACGTGTGATGATAAATATGTTGGGAAGGTATGCTGAATTAGGGTATGCTGAATGCCTGAAATTGTTCTATGTAGGAATGAGATGTATGTGTGTATGTGAGTATGTGTGTAGGTAATGGGATAATACGTGTGTGTGATCTTGTGTATGTGCTTGTGACACATTTTTTGACAGTCCTGGGGAGATCAAATGGGTAGGAGGGGAAGCTGAGGGACAGAACGGGGGACGGATTTATCCCCCCTTTTGTCCTCATTTTGTGTGTGCCCCATGAGTGATCTTCTGTGGCTCTTACCAATTTTGAAAACTGTGCTGCTGTCCTCCTTTTTCTGCATATGGCTGCGGAGCTGTTGTGAAGATTGCAGGGTAAACTATAGCTCCGTGGGTCGCTGGAGAAAAAGGAGCATCATTTCTCCCAGGTCTTAGCGAGATGATTTTTAGTGCCTTCCTCCCCGGATCAGTCCTTCCTCCTTTATTTTCAACCATAGCAAAGGGACTTTCTCTTCCTTGGGTTTATATCTCTCCCCACCCTCCGCCCCCATCAGATGGCTTCCATCTCTCTATTCCCCCCATCAGCTTTGTCTGAATGAGGCATCCGGATGGTAGAGGGTGGAAAATTTCTGCAGTAAGCTGAGGGGAGGTGCAAAGACAGGGAAAATCAATTCAGACCAAAGGAAGAAGTCCACAAATGCCTGGTCAGAATAGGTGGCTGGAGAGAAT